AACCATACCAACTAAAAGTTATCCAAACGAGAAATACCTTTATCGTGAGTGGAGGGTGGGGCTGGACATTTCTCGATGATAAGCTGTTTTCTTTCTTGGTTATTTTGCTTTATAGATTTCACAACTGAAAATCCCAGGGAGGTCTAGGACTATCTGACTCCCCCCCCCCCCTTTCCACGGATGCACCCGCCACTGGCACCGGAGAAAAGGTATTTAAAAAATTACTGGAATTGAAAATATTACAAGATTTTGTTGGGACGTTTTTACTAAAGCATACCCCTGCCACGTCATGACGAATTAAAAATGATAATCTTATTCACAAGAAGTCTTAAGGACAAACTTGTAATTCATTAAGAAACCTTGCCTTAGGGAACTGGAATTTTGCTACATGTAACTCCCTAATTGATATGCTATTTAACCGTTTTATTTATATCAATAAAAAAGTAAACTCTAGAGCATTACAGATGACCGAAAATTACCTACTGAAGCAGGAATTAGCTCACTTGACTAACGCACGGCAAATCGGGGATTAGTCAATTTGTGACCGTGAAGATTTGGACGGTACTTAGGAATTCGTCTGGAACAGCATCCGTTGTTTGCAGAACGAACGGGGTGAGGGAACGTTGGCGTAAGGGGGTACGAGGTATAGGTAGAGGCGCTGTGTGGCCGTGAGGTAAAAACAAAGTATAGGTGTGCCGTATTCCCGAAGGTCCACCAATATGCAATTCCAGAGATAAAACAAATGATGAAGGATTCCGTATTTATTAGATGAGTCTCAACGATGGCAACAGTTTACATGAATCAACAAACAGACGTATTATAAATGATCGAGTCGGATCTGGCCGAAGTGGTCCCGGACTCAGAGTCCTGACGAGTCGGACGTGGCCGAGACTGGCCTTCGTATATTCCAGACTAAAGATTGAAATTATACATGACTATTTATAAGAATGTACATAATGAGTAAATAAATGACAGGTGTTGACATTTAGTAAAATGAGTGAAAGATTCACAGGTATGGATTAATTAAATAAACTCAATGACGCTTTGATGTTTGGACATAAAAAAACCCCAGATAATTACACCGTGTTGTTTTTAGAGATTAACAGTTCTTGAGACATAGCACTCTGTCTCTTTGTAACAACAGATCAAGAGTCCGAAAAGTGTCACTGGTCAATTAAACAATTAGATTCGCAAAACATATCGTGGGAAATAAAATATGACATAACTTAAAAATTGAAAAGTAAAGTCCAAAATAAAGTTCTTTCTTGAACAGTGAATTTTTCACTGTGATAAATTCATAGCGATTTCTATGGACTTATTTACATCTGACGATCTATTTTATGCAGGAAAAAAATCAGTATATGTATAATAATATATTATGAATATGAAGTTATACATGAAGATGAACAACTAATTTCTTAATAAAATTTAAAGTTAAGGGTAATTAATTGATTAATTAAATCCAAAAGAAAAAGAATGAAAAAATCTTAAGTTTGACACATTTCTTGCCTCATTTATTGACATGTACGAGGGCTGTCCATAAAGTTCGTAGACAATGACGTCAAAATGAATGGTTCTAAATTTACTTATTGTATACCAAAATATTCGTTATGAAAATCCAAGTCAAAATAGTTTTTTCGATTGTTTAAATTTAATATTTTTTGTAAAAATCGTGGTCTTTAAAGGTCGCAGGTAGTGCGCACGACCCGGGCTTAAAATGCCATATACTCTGAAATAAAGTTTTCTGATTAAATTGATTATTTTCTTTATAAAACAAGTCAAAACTTAATAAAATTACGGCTATTCGTCATTTTCTGATATCTTTAATATCGCTTACTACACAGATAGTGAAATCTAAAAAACGAATGAGAAAATTACGAAAAACCCGCAAGAAATATGTTTCAAAAATTGAAAGAATTAAAAAGCGACGAAGGCCACCCGAACGGAACAGCTTTCAATCATAAATTATGTTTTAATATGGTTGAAACGACGTAAGAGACAAAATATTTATTCAAACAAGTTGAAATTATTGGAATATATTTAGTTCATTGATATGAAATTTGGTATATACGAGTTTTCAATGGTGTGTAAATTTTGGAGACACTACAAGAAGTGGAAAACTACTGTTATTTGATAAAAATAGGATATCCCTATTAGCCCAGAGTCGGACTGAGCTGCACAGCCTGTTTATATGAAGTGTTTATGCTGATGATGCTCGTAAATTATTGTGAATTAATTTGAATTTTAAAATTAAATCAGTTATGGTTTATTTAAGGAATAACTGTGTAATTTCTTGGTTTCATGATGATCAAGCGATTGGTTTGCGTGATAATTTGCATAAACGCCCTCCTTAAATAATTATCACGCAAGCCAATCGCTTGATCATCGTAAATCTGGCAGTTATTCCTTATATTTACATGCTCTCGATTCCGCAAATTCACGTGCTACAAGCCCCGCATCTGTCTCGCCCTGTGACGGTACATATTGTCGTTTTGTACATATTGTCGTCGGCGACAATATGTACCTACCCTCACTGAACATATTGTCGTCCATCTGTACATATTGTCGCCGACTGAAAAGTTACATATGTACATATTGTCGTTGGCGACATTATGTGCCTCACCCTCACTGTACATATTGTCGCCCCAAAGATATTGTTGTTTAAAGATGTCTTTTGCTGTTTTTTGGTAGTTTTGTGAATGTAATTGGTGTGAGAATCACACTGACGTGTCTCGTTTGCTATTTCATGCAGCGTGATTGTGACGGTACATTTTGTCGTCCTGTTCATATTGTCGCCGGCGACAATGTGTACCTTCCCTCACTGCGCATATTGTCGTCCATCAGTGTTATTGTATATGTTACCTTAATTATTTAATAATGAAATTTTACCTGTAGACTAAGTATATACAAGTTAAACAAACAGAATTTACCAAAGCAAATAAAAAAAAAATCAAACCACCAAGCGAGGGGGGGGGGGGGGGGGCTACATCTGCCTTTGGTGTTTGAGAAGATTTTTAAAGATTTTCTGTATATATTCCTATGTAAAACTTTGATCACCCATTGTTGCTCACATTACCCCTGGGGTCATGACTTGAACAAAATTGATTTTGTTTGTTTGTTGTAAAAATGTGTTGAAATTGACCCAGTAGTTCTTGAAAAGAAGCTGAAATTATGAATAGTTAACAGACAGACGGACGGTCAAACAAAATTTGATCAGTAAAGCTCACTTGAACTTCCAGTTCAGGTGATCTAAAAATGTTATTTTTTGCGTTATTCTTACATTATTATTAACAATAAATTATATTTATAATATTATATCGGCACATGATCGTATATAAGAATTATTTCCAAATAATATTACTACTGAACAAAAAAAATACCTGTATTCAATCTCCAAGTATATATTACAAGAAAAAAAGACTAGCTGATTTATCAGATATCTCAAGAATTACGGTTTCTTGATATGTCATAGTGATGTACATCAATCCTGGACACAATTTTCTGACCAAAAAGTTTTCTCCCTACAGTATTGCGAGTAATGCTGTCTGTCTCCCTCCGTGCGTGTGTGTGTTTGTCAATTTCTCTTTCTTTTCTCAAGTTAATATTCGTCAAAACAATATATCGACGACATATATACCGACCTTGACTGTACATATTGTCGCCGACGACAATATGTGCTGGTGCTTGACTGTACATTTTGTCGTCCATTATGCAGGAAGAAAATAAGGCTCGTCTCGGTACATATTGTCGCCGGCGACAATATGTACCGATGGACGACAATATGTGCAGTGAGGGTAGGTACATATTGTCGCCGACGACAATACGTACAAAACGACAATATGTACCGTCACACGCCCTGCTCGTGAGTTTTTATAACCAAGCCTATCGATGAACTAGTAGCTTTATGTAGAAATGAAGTATTTTTACTGTTTGTAAAATATCTCGGACAAAGAAATTTTAAAATTTAAAAATACATATACATTATTGCACACACTTGGCAGTGTGGTATATTAAAGAAAATGTAGCGTGTGTCCATGAATAAGTGGAAAAAAAAATCAAAATCCATATTTTTGACGTTATCATGAAATTAGCTTACGTCAGACTGGGCCGTGCGGTTTGCATATACAAAGTATTTACACCTATAACGTTCATAAAATAGTGTGTATCGTTTTAATTTTAATATTAATAAATTATGGTCTATTTTAAAATATTACCGTACATGTTTACCAGTGTGAACATTATTAAGAAAATTATAGGATTTGTTCACGGACTTTATGGACCCTCGTATATATAATTATGTTGTTGCTTTTCTTTCAAACTATATTTAAAAACTTTACAACATTGATGAAAGTGTGCACAGTGAAGAAATTCTGTCAAGCACCAAGAGATGAACCCTATATCACGGACGTTTCTGGCTGTGAAATTCAATTTTATCAATTTGAAATAAAAAAGAAATATAGTTTCATTTTACTATACTTTATGGAAATTTTACTCGAGGTTTATTAACAATTAAGTACAAATTGGAAGAAACATTGCCGATATCTTTATTGATCGAATGTACTTTACTGTGGAAGATAAATCTTTATTATTTTTTTTTTTTGTTTAAATTGTCTGGCACAGCAAAGTTTACCCTGAATTCATATGTAAATAATGGTTATAACAATTTAAAACTTGTTTCACTTTTGAACTTTCCATGAAATCAACAAACATCTGGCGAGTGTACTCTTCATAAACCTAGACAGTCTATATATCAGTCTTAAAAGATCTAGACCAGTATTTGCCTTGCTATCTCAAGTGACATAATTTCCCATTGTTTTGTTTAAAAGTATATTCATATTTAAACAGCATTCAATAATTTGCCAGAAAACAAGTTACTTTCTAATAATTTAAACATATGCAAATTGTTAGAATGCTAAAAATTGAGAATTGCACATAATTTATTAAAAACCTTTTACATAGTTTCTAAAAGGGCAAAATAACAAAAATAACAAAGAATAACATAAATATTGCACAGTTAATTTGTTAACTGACATCAGCATTTCATCATCTGGCTACAAAGACTGTGCTGGATAGTCACTGGTTTCATAGGCATATCTGAAAGCAATAATAGCCATCAACATATATGTATTACAAACGTATTAATAGCGATTCTCTGTAACCACTTAAACTTCTTTGCCACGCATGGTCACCGATTTTGATGAAAGCACATTATTACAACTTGACATCAGAAACATATATCAAATAAAATTTCGTTGCTATGTGTCTTGGTTGCCATGGTAACAGCCAGAAAAGTTGGAAAAATTGAGATTTTCAGCTACTTTGAATCTTTATTAAGCCTTAATAAAGACTAAGAATAACAAACAAACAATTCTCACAAAAACCTGACACCTTGTTGCCACTAATGCTATAAAGAAACTATTTAGAATTTATCTCTAAGTAAGTGGTAACCATGGGTACATTTGGAATACATTTTAGATGCTGAAAAATGCAGAAAAACGCTCAATATTCACTAATGATAGGTGTTAAATGATCAAACTCAATCAACAACCTAAGAAAAAACAATAAAAATATTTGACCTTAAGTAATTAGGTATTGGCAATATTATTCTAAAAATAACTTTCATGGTTGCCATGGTAACACAGTGTTACCATGCAAAATGTGTTGCTAAGATTGGGTAAATGCTACTATCTTCAGGAAAAACAATAAATTTCATGACTGGCACATATACATCCTTAGGACCCTGCAACACCGACAACATAAGAAAAAATGGGATTAATTGTTACTTTGCAGTGTAACCATGGAAACAATGTACCTGTTGTTTAAAGTGATATTTTTTTGCTGCATTAGGAATTTACTTACCTTTTATTCAAGAAACGTATTATTTGACTCACCTTGAATAGTACTTATCTGGTAGAACTAAAGTTGAATATCATATATTGATAACGTTTGTTGAAAAATATAACACTGTTGCTATGGTAACCAAGAAGGGGAAATGTTCGATTTTGTTAATTTTATATCAATATTAAACCCTATGTGCCAGCTTTTTGCATCCAGTTAGAGATTAGGTGGCAGTCAAAATTGAAAGTCAGGTTAGTTGTTCATAATTATCAATAATAAAAGTTTTGGGAATCTACATACAAGGGTACGTATCCAAGGAAACAGAATATTTTTCAGATTTTTATGCATATTTTTTCGGCTTATTTCCATAGCAACGCTCTATTTAAAGAATTGAATTTGAGTTTTTTGAAATGTGAAAATTAGGGTCACATGAACGTCTTTAAAAATTGATCATTAGTTATATAAAAGTATGCTTTTTAAAAAGATAGGATTAGATTTAAACACTAATAGAGTAAATTTAAAATCCCTTCTTGGTATTAAAAACCATGGCAACCATTGCCAACCTATAAGAAATATCATATTTCTTCCTTGGTATATGTTACAAGGATCTTTTGTCTATTATTTGCTTGCATTTCAACCTATAATTTTTTTTATTCTTAAGTGTTTGATTTTATAAAATTAAATGAGCAAAATTATTACTTTTGAATACTTTGTTTCCATAGTAACGTATGTAATAGTTGATTTACCAAACATGTTTATCGTGCATTTAAGACATCAGGCCTACAACTTTCAGAAACAATCATTGCCACTTGTTTACTTTGCTGCAAACGTTAACTGTGGGACTCTGAACATGTTGAAAAATGCCATTTTTCAAACTTTAGGACAGGTTGCCATGGTAACCATGACACGTAGCAACCAATTTCTGCCTGATTTGAGTTTATGGTATCAAAGACTTTTATCATAGAGAGTTTGGAGAAATTCTGAGACTATGCGTGCCACAGCTCCTATATAAAAGTTCAAGTCGTTACAGAGAATGGCTCTTAAACTGTTTAGCTTAAAAAAAAAAAAAACATCTGAGATTATATCTATACATTTTTGTTTCTTCATGGAAAATTTTGAATCATAGCCTAAAATCTACAAGATTAACTACATATATTTATATTTTTTTAATAACTCATAGAAAACTAATTCTATAATAATACATGTTGATAAAAGTAAAAACCAGACAAAAACTTTCTAAGCCAATCTGATAAAAGTACAACCAGGGATTTCATAATACATATAAGACCTATCTGCACTCACTTGGTACACCTGCCCTCGACTGGAAGTGATCCTCAATCAGCTGATGCTTAATAGTTTCACACAAAAACTGTTAATCAATAAATAGGAACAATATTGTTACAGGTACCACAATATTATCATATAACAAATGAAACTTTCATTAGTCACAATCTTAATGGAGCCATTTGACTGCATAAAAAGTTAAACATGCAGCATGAAATAAATAACAGATTTCTCTGCTTGCAGCTACTAGACCTTTTGTGATATTAAATATTCATACACAAAATACATATTTGATATTTAAAGAAATGTTTTCTCCACACGAAATAGAGCAAGTATCATAAATAATATACATTTCCTCTGTGTGCAATCAATGTTCAAATAATTCATAAGACAAATCTAACCATCGATCAATTTATACCTACAAATTGCATAAACTGATTACAAGCTGTCACCCATAATATGAATTAAATGTACTTAAGTAATTATATTTGTCAATTCCTACTTACACAAAAGTTTATATAAAAAAAAGAGTTCCATTTAAATAGGCAGATTTTGACTTCTCTCAATTCAATTAATTTAACGATGTGAACTTTTATATGTATTACCTCTACAATGTGCATGTCAGAATCATGAATTCCAATTTTAGCCATGAAATTTGACACTGTCCTCTGGAATGATGAGCTCTGTTGCTGTATAAACCTGTAGTCCCTTGAAATAACAAGATATTGAAGTAGAAGAAATGATTTTAAAAAATTCCTCTTAAAGTAATGTATATTACTTGAATTTGCAACACAGAAACATTTATATATTAAGTGCTATCATTGAAAAATTTATATATGTACAGTCAAGCCTGGTTAATAAAAATGCCAGTCTTCCTAAGCAAGTTGTCTGGATTAATGAAGCATCCAGATACTAGTAATTGGAATTGGGAATATCTGCATGGGATCAACTGTACATATATACATATATCAACTTTTTGTTGAACTTACTGTCTTCCCTTTCCGGCAGGACCAATACAGAAGGCGTGGAAATAAATGAAAGCCTTGGATGAAAGGTCAACCAAAATTCTGTCAAAAATTTAAAGCTTTATTTTACATGTACTACAAAAAAAGGAAAGTCTTCCTTAACCTCCTGTCCCTGTATACCATAGTCTTTTCTACAAGTTATTTCCTTCAATTCCTTAGCTAATTTTTATTCTGAGACATTAAAAGCATACACTAGTCTAAATCTATCAAAAAGTTTATCATTTCTTTTCAAGTTCATATGTTAATTAACTAGTATCTTATAAATCCATCTCAAAGATTTATAAAGCTCTTCTTTTCAGCAATTGATTGACTTTAAAGTTCTGATCCAATATTTGATGTAGCATTGCCTCTCACTTGAAATAAAATATTTGTCATTTATTACATTTTCAACAGTGAAATACTGTGATTTATTTATTGAATAAAAGTGATATTCTCTCACAGTGAGAAAGGATACCAAAGTGATATTCTGTCACACTGTGAAGGACATCAAAGTAAGTAAAAAATAATTTCTGGCCTGTCATAAGATAGAGCTAGTAACTAACCATCTTGATAGAGCTAAAACGGTAAATTTCTTCCCAAATATATTGCTAAAATCCATGCTATGTAATGTTTTCAATCTCACAACTGCTAAGCTATGACGTCTTAACCGCTCAACTATGACGTCAAGCCCATGACACTGTGTTAAGAAAAGGCAAAGGCAAAGAGAAAATCAAAGAAAATGTAATAAACAGAAAATTCAATGTTTTGTAGATGAATATGGAATTTATTTCACTCGTGAGACAGGATTTTTTTTTTTAATTTTCACTCGTGCTTCGCACTCGTGAAAATATCAAAAAATCCTGTCCCACTCGTGAAATAAATTCCATATTCATCTACAAAACATTGAATATCCTCTATATATTTTTAAAATATTTATTGTTATATCAGATTCTGAGGAGTGTTATGAATCAAAACTCGTGAAAACAGGTGCTCCTACTTGATGCTGGTATTGAAGAGTTTCTTGAAAATTTCTGTGTATGTACATGTAACATGATTAAGTGCTTTGGGGGGGGGGGGGGGGATAAGGGGGGTCATAGTGTAGTCCAACTACCATGCATGTTTTATTTAGATTCACTTGTTTGATATTCTTTATTCACAGAAACATTCATTTTAAAATGACACTAAACAATACATAGTTTTTTTTAACAAAGGGTTGAAGATACATAATTGTTCTTGATTGATAAATATTACAGGGCTATTGAACTGATATTGGTGAATATTGGCAGAAGTTGGCTGTACAGATGCATGAGCTTGTGAGTGCAATTGTACAGCCAACAAATGCCAATATTTACCAATATATATAAGTCCAATAACTCCTTTATTCTATAGCTGAAACATCTCCCATTGATTTATATTAATTATTTCAATTAAATAACTCAAATTAATAAGAAATTTTCAGTATTAGTATAGACTGTTTCATGATAGCTGTCGTCTACTCTTTTGCAGGGCAAAATGATATATTTTGGTGTAATATGACATAAAAGCAATTAATTGTTTAAAATACATCATTTAATTATCAATATCACTTGACATATGGGTCCTTATAACAACATATCAACCTACGATGAAGTCTATGATAGTTATATTACATAATTTCTCAACATGAATAATCTGACACAGTCCCAACTACGTAGTTTGTGTCATTACATCACAATGGTAAAAACATTAGATTTAGATGCACCTTAATGTGCTGTAATTTTTAAATTTTGGTACATGTATTTGTTTATACAACTCCTTTCTTTTGGTATTAAGGATATCCGATAATCACGATAATGCGATTGCAACTTCTTGGGCCTTTCTGATCTCATCAGACAATGGTAGGAAAAGTGTAGAAATTAATATCAAGAGTGATCAAAGTAATCCCTGGAATCCAAGATGACAAGTGTCATCCCTTTTTCTTTTTTTTTATATACATTGAAATACAACTATTTTAACTGCAATTTTTGATTTTATCATATTAAGTATATATAGACTTGATTAGGGTTGTTGTAGTTCATTCCCAGAAATGATTTACAATTTGATTAGGGTGGTTGTTCTTCATTCCAAGACATTACTTAAGAAACAAAGTTTTTGTGAATGTTGCAGAATAACCTCCAAGGTCCAGAAATGTTGTTTTGAAATATAAAAGCTAAGGCCTTAGCGAGGTTTTTATATTTCAAACAACATTTTGAGACCGAGGAGGTTATCCTGCATCATTTACGACAACAAGATCTTTATATTTATTCTACTAACAGCTCTAAAATACAAGTGATCGTTTCCTCTATAGAGAAACGAATTAATGTCCCGATTAGGCTGTTCCATTTAACATCAGAGGGTCATTTGTTTGTTTTCTTGTGTATCGATTGCAATGGAATGCAGACAATTTGAGCTTTTGTTGGATTTAAAATATCATTTAATCATTTAAAAATTTGTTTGTCACATATAATAATTTTTATAAATGTAAAAATAGCAAAATCATTTGTCTATTTTATTGATTTGAGTTTAAATATTGTGGGGAGGTCCGTAGAACAGCCCTGTTTAGCTATAAAAATTGTCATTTCTCGACTGCGTAATGCAATACACACCGTTTAGACTGCAGAAAACGACACATCAAATGGTCTAAATAAGTACAATCTTAAGTCAAATATTCATTTTACATGTACAAGTTTGATATGTGCTTATGATCTGATAATTTTTTGATGACGTTTGTGATTTATTGGAAAATAATGTCCCTGGCATTTCTTTGATCTCGGCAATAAAAGTAGTAGAATTACAAAATGATTAGGGTTGTTATATTTCACTCCCTGACATTACTTACGATTTTATTAGGGTTGTTAGCATCTCTTCCATCTTGTAATTCCTCACTCTGTTGTCCAGTAGCGATAAATAATAGCCCTGAAAGAATCACATCATCTCAATTTTACAACATATTTTAAAAAAATTAATTTAATAGTTTTGAAATTTTAATTTAGCATTGAGGATGTCTTTGTATGGGAGATAACTCTTCTGAAATGACTTAATGGACATTCATATACAAGCAAGGGACATCATGTACATCATTTACATGTTCATCATAAAAAAAATTTAATATTCAATTCCAGTTGAATTTAAAAGCAAGAAACGAACCTGATATATGGGACAGAAAACTTCTCTTTTCCTCACATCGAATACAGTACACAATTTCTGTAAGTATACAGAAAAAAAAGAAATATATATGTAGGACTCAAAAGTGTGATGGGACTCCAAAGTCCGATGGTCTGCGCCAAACCCCGATGGTTTGACATGTCAAAGTCTGATGGTGTGGAGAAACAATAAACGTTTAAGACGTCATAGTACTACGCTGAATTAAGATGCCGTTCCAAGGTCCAATGGTTTCAAATAAATACAAATGAATTTTAAATAATTGCTCATGGAAGTGAAATGGTTAACTAGAATACGGCAAAATTTAATCGTAACACTAGTTCTAATTTCTCTAGGGGTGCAAGGCTAACCTTAGTCTCTCTGATGTGTGCGAGACTAACCCTAATTGCTTGAAAAGTATGCAGTAGCTCACCTACATATTTTGGGTGCACAGGAGAGAGACTGATCCTAAGGCTAATGAGTCGAATGGTGTGCAAGGACCTACCCTAAATCTCCTTGGTGGGTGCAACACTAACACTATTCAGTTTAACAGTGTCAATGACTAACCCTTAATCTCTCATATGGGTGCAAAGTTATCCCATAATCAGTCTGGACTAACCCTTATCAGGCGAGTGGGTGTGCAAGGACTAACCCTAATATCTCAGGTGAATGCAAGCAATAAGCAAAATCAGTCAAATTGTATGCAAGGACTAATAAATTATTGGTTTGGATTATTGTGACATCATAAACGTTGATTGTTTCTCCGCACCAATGCTCTTTGGCATGTCAGACCTTTAGTGCAACTCATCTTGTAGGAGACGAGCCATCCAACTTTGGCAAGACCATTGGACTGTGGCGTCCATACCATCACCAAACCATAAGGGGTTTGGTGCAGACCATTGGACTTTGGCAAGACCATCGAACTTTGGCAAGACCATCGGACTTTGGCATGACCATCGGATGTTTATTAAAGGACAACAAATCCAAGAATGTATGACTACAAGTAGTCATTTTGTTAAGCATTCTGGCAGGAATAAAATGATACCTACTCTAATGACAGCAGGAATAAATCTATCCATTGGTTTTCTTTCTGGACGACAAACACCCAACAGTTTTATGTCTGACATTTTACATATACTGGGCATACATCGAGTCCATGGAATAAAACTTTTATGATTCCTATAAAATTGATTACATTTTTAATTGAAATGAATTAAAAATTACAGGTGTGCATTTCCCCACTACATTCTCTAACTCTCTTTCTTTCACTCACATAAAGAAATGAATCTAAATAATATATTTGTACCTGTGATAAGAGGTCAGGAAAATCTTCAGAGCTTTAACAATGTTCTTAACTTCTTCCTCCAGATCGGGGGTCCCAACAACAATCACAGATTGACCAATCAGAATAGAGTATATAACATGTTTTATGCTGGCATATTTAGTCATGACATGTAGAAGCCCAAATCCTGAAAAAAAAGCAGCATAAAAGTATCCATACCTTGATACATTTCCAGTAGTATTATTAGTTTTATGAATTGAATACCTTTATTTTTTCTATGAATTGTACATCAGGATAAGCCACACTGTAACACCTGATATAACTGTAGACTGTATATATATAATTACATGTATATACATATATTTCTACAGTCGGTGGATGTATAGGCACTGGCCCTCTTAGGCCTCTTTAATTTCAAATAGGAGTGGTCCTGAACTTTATTTTTCATCTCATGTTTAATGCTGTACTGCATGTCTAAATTACAGGATGAACATTTTCCTGCAATACCTACACCAATTTTATCATATACTTAGTAGTAAATATACTGATTTCGCACAGTGCGATACACGTGACATCAATACATGTACCATGTATCAACAACTGGTCCGAGAACCCATATCAAGTATCAGACCAGCATGCAAAAATCCATATCAAACTAGAAGTAACATTTTAATAACATTTAAAAGATAATTAACTCAATTTTATTGAAATATTTATTCAATACAATTCATTTACTAAAATTTGTTGCCTTTGGCCCTCGGGCTGATATGGGATCACTTGGGCTGATATGACATATGCTATGGATTTTAGTACTGTAAAAGTGGTTATTTACGCGTGGGGGAAATTTACACTACTTAAGCCGTAGATTTAGAACCGCGTAAAATACACCCGCGCGTATGATCACAAAATTTCTAAGTTCTGGAATCATTCTAGACTATTACTAATATTCATATACCGGTCAAACCAGTCATATATCAATCGTGGTATTGAAAGCACGTGAGTAGATAATTACATCACAGTGAAGAAAACGTATTTTTAAAAAAATTAAATTGTGCTATGAAAAATGCATCTTCATATTACATATTTTAAAGCAACGTTTCGCAAGTAGAGCTTCAAAAGATCATTCTCATTTTTGTTTCCTTGTATGTACGGGTACGTCCCTCTTACTTTCAAATAATTAGTCCAAAATTTTACACAAACTCACAGTCACTACAAACATTCCTATTGACTTGTCAACACTCGCCATGAAGATACAGGTAAGAAGATCCGACTTTGAAGTTTGAGCTTGCGTAAATAATTACAATAAAGCGTACACCAGTTGTTCACACTTCACTGCTTTTGACTGTGCAGATCGCCGTTATATTTAGCAATCCAAGGAACATGCACATATCAATAACCAGTATAAATTCTTTTTGTTTTGTATTATTTGTTTAATTTCTAATTTATTTTTTCTTATTCATGCGTGTAAACTTCTTGACCTTTTCAAAGGGGGACAACTCGATGTTACTAACGATGGCAGCATAAATTTTTCTCAGTAACTCGTGTGATCGCGTATATTACACCCACTCGTAATGTTTGACAGTCACAAACGCGTACTTCTGGAATAAGTTCTTCAACCAGTGTAAATAACCACTTTTACAGTACGTCATATTCTCTATATACTTAATGATTATTCTACAAACTGGAACAAAAGAATGTATCATTTGGAGTAATTTTTCAAATAAAAGTAGAACTCTCACCACAAGCCATGTTGTCTGAAGTAACCGGAAACAGAACGGAATCTTGCTCTGGTGTGTCAACAGGAATCAGATTTTCAATGTTTTGCCTAAAATATAGATAAAATTTCAAAAACAATAAAATGTCACTTTTTATTTTATTTTTCAGTTTGTTTACCTAGTAAATATCTTACAACATGGAGACATTTTAAGGATTACCTAATAAATTTATAACTTGTTATGCCCTCTGAATCATGCTCTACTGTAGATTCTGAAATTGTAAAACTGGATATAACAATTAATTAATATCCATGAAGTTATTTGTCTCAAAAATTGTTCAGAAATCCTTTTTCTTTTAAAAAATACTATTAATTTTACTTTTTTTTTTTTTTTTAGATTTGATCATGGGTTAAATAATGCAATCTCTGAAGCTGATTCAAAATTCTATTCTATTATTTCATCTGACAACTGACTTATACAGCTTCAAACAAGGAATGCAAATTACCAATTTTGAGTGACTGAGCTAACACAGACACATGTATCCTTTCTGCATCTTCTTTACTTTCACTTTCATTCTCCTGCTGACCTACATTTTCAGCTGTTATTGTTTGGAGTCTGTCCCTCTTTTCATCAGTCTCCTCATCACTTGAGTTACATTCACACATGGCTTCCCTCTCATCTGTTGTATCACTGCCCTCCTCCTTTTCTTCTCCCATCTCCTTCTCCTCCCACACCAGAGTGGATGTTGACAATATCATACTTGATGAAAGTTCTGTCTCTTCCTCAGAGTTTCCAATGTCAGTTTCGGATATCTCACTGTTTTCATCTATTTTCTTGTTGTGAAAATTTTCAATCCCATCACTGTTTCCGTTCTCTCTTCCAGCATCAATAAAATTATCTGTCCTAAGTGTTTGTAACTTTTGTATCTTAAATTGGAGTTGTCTGATCACCTCATTTCTTGAAGAAATGTCTATGTTCTCTTCTGAATTATCTGTCATCTCAGAATCATTGTTGAGACTAAAGTTCACACTGAAAAATAAATGAAAGTTAGGGTCTATACAGTAAAACTTGTCTAATCCAGATGTTGTGTATTCAGAAATTTTACCTATGACAATCTTACTGTTAATAGACTCCTTTCAGTAATTTCAATGGTTTAAAATGTTGTCTTATTCAGAATGTTGTCTAATCCAGCCAATTCCTATGGAACCAGTGGTGTTCAGATTTGATTAGGTCTACTGTTAGTAGTTACTTATTGTACAAAATGAAAATAAACTTCTAAGTAGTCAAATTTTCAAGCATAAACTTATATTCAGTGTTCTGCAAAAGTGGAAATCATGATGATCTGGAAACTCATGAAATTGATGATTGGTTTACAATTATTTTCAAACATATGTACATGCACATGTATAGCACCATTTTTTTTAATGTGAAATATGAATTACTAGTAGACTGCCAAATGAAAGTTTCCACTTGGTAAATTTTTAAAATGAAGAAATCATCAAACTTACAACCTCTCAATATAATCATGTTTACAGTATATACAGTTGTATAATATATGAATGGTATGAAACCAAGCTAATCAAAATTTCAGCTTACTGTGAAGTGTTTTTGGCAAAATGATAGCACTCAACCTCTTGTTTTGTAAAAACACAGTCTAGATAAACATACCTAGGTGATCCAGTGGCACTGAAAGCTGACTTCATAGACTCTGCATCATCATCATCAACCACTGACCGAAAGGAGCTAGCAGCTGACTTAAAACTCAAAGTTTCCATCTGTTAAAAAAAATACATTTCAATTTACATAAGTGCCAAGAAAAAAATATATCATGAGCTTATGTATGTCAAGCAGTGAAAAGCACTGACAAGCACAACAAATATATGGCACAAGATGAGGCCCATAGGCCACAATGCTCACCTGAGTAACTATGGCCCTTCTGTTCTTCAGCAGCAGATTCTTTTTCCTATGTATTTTTAAGTAAAACTTTGAAAACATATGGGACCACTCTATAGCTACCCCATGATTTAAGATTTGAACAAACCTGAATCTTCACTACTTGAGGATGCTTCTATTTTAATATGATCAATCATGGCTTTGCTGTTCCTGAGGAGATTTTAACAATTTTTTCCCATGTATTCCTATGTATAATTCATGATTTGAATAAACTTGAATCTACAGTATGTCATGAAGCTTTCAAACAAGTTTCATCTTTTCTTGCCCCGTGGATGTTGAGAAGATTTTTAAAAAGATGCCACTGAATTTTCACAAATTCTTAATTATCTCTCCTTGAAAGAAGATGTGACACTTCCTGTGAACAAACTTAAATTTCCTTCACTCAAGGATGCTTTGTGGCAACTTTGGTTGAAATTGGCCCAGTGGTTCTTGAGAAGTCGAAAATGTGAAAAGTTTAAAGATAACACACGACAGACGGACAACGGACACTCTTTGCTTAGAAAAGCCAAGTTAAGCCTCCGGCTCAGGTGAGCTAGTCTAGAAATGAATTAGCAATATCAGAGTTCGATCTATAAATTAATATTATAGGATTAATTAAGAATTAGTACACATATTAGTGCATAACTTGTTCAAATATTTTCTCTGCAAAATAAGCACACTTGTGTAGACTATACAAACTTACAGATCTAGATGAACACTTTTTGAACAATTCTGGTATCTCAGCATGTAGACATTGACATCCCATACATTTTCTGAAAATAAAAAAAAAAAATTAAATACAAGATTGATAGCATGCAATCAGAGAGCACATAATAACTAACTTATTAACTATGTCTTAAACAAAAAAAAAAGCAGTTGAAAATAAGGTTGATACTATACTACGCAATCTGAGCATGCTGAGTGCACATGATACATTTTTAATATAATTTGTGGTATTGCTGTTTATGCAAATTATCAAATGCTTCAAGATCAGCTATCACCTCATAACATCAGAAAAAAGATGCATATTCCTTAAAAACAAGAACACGTACTGTATATATGCATCAAAATCTTGACGGAGAAATGAATATACATGTATATACTATATGTAGCAATGCTGAAGATAAAAGTCCTATCTTAAATCTGACCACATTCTGTAAAAGGGAGAATTTCACTATTGTGTGCCATATTTCTCTTTGTTTATCCTTATTTCTAGAGCCCTTAAATAGGTTGTTCACTTGGTCAATGTAATACACTTTTCAGGTTTCATACCCTACCTTGCCATATTGTACATGTGAAATACCCAGTTTAGACAAAAGTTACTTTTGCATGCTCCTTATATGACAGAAGAAAAGATTACTAAATAAATATGACATGGTGAAGGGCAGTAAATAAATATGACATCGTGAAGGGCAGTCAATCACAAATGCACATAAAATGCAATGAAATGCAAATATGTCGGCCATTGCAGTTAGCCAGAAAGTATTCAGGTGTTAACAAATGCAAAGGGTTCATGTAAACCCAGAGCTAATATTGGAGACAAGAAAACTAAAATGGAGTATGTCTATTTATGAGTCGTGTTCAGCTTTAAATGACCATACTTGTCAATATTGGTCAGTAGGTTGGCTCCAATGCAGTCCTCTCCAAAGTGTAGAGCTGAGGAGCTGGGGTCTAGAAATGGATATTACATAATAACCAAGAATAAATCAATTCAAACAGCAGTTATCTTTCTTTGGTCATTCAATATTTGTTATTTATATTAATTTTTTTATCTCTTGTACTGGTGTATCATACAGAATTTACAAGTATGTGTATTGTGTTATAAAAATGTATATCTATGTACAACTGCATACATGTATATCAGTATCATTAATTATCTCTGTATAGTTTATGGTCTCTAATGATACAAACATTAATGCAGATTTTAATAAAGGAAACTGGTGTTAAAGATTTTACCATTGTAGATCTTGTCACTGCTCTCCACTTGAAGAACAGCCATATCTCTCCTAAAGAACTTCACAAAGAAAAAATAGGTATTACAAAGAGTTCACTAAAAAATGTCTACAGTTCTATATTTATATTTGCTGTTTTTCTACTAAGCCAACTGTGAAATTGATTTGAATGCCATTTTCGTGTATACTCAGACACGTGTAGAAATATGCACGGAGAAACTTGTGCTTAAGTGACGTCACAATGAGGTACAGATACGTTAATAAAAAATGTAACGATATAGGTAAGCGAATAATTTAAACATTGCATGAGTATATTTTTGGTGCTTTTGAACATGTAAATATAAGGAATATTTTTAATTTTATAGAATATTATTTTTAAGCGCTAGGGCGCTTCATGAAATATGCCTACGTGACAAGTCTGTGTGATTTACACACCAATAATTCACACAAAACTTAATAACATTCCTTAAATATAGAACCGAAATAGATGAAAATAAAAACGATAAAATGTGAATGAAAATAATTAATAAATAACAAGCAAATTCAAAGAATTGTGGTCAACCACTTTTGGTGTCTTAGTGGTTGGGATGCAGTTATTTATGGCATATTGTAACTGTCTTGTTTGTGTCCTTCAAACTTCTAGGTGAAGGTCATGAAATTCAAAAATGATAAACCTTTCTGAAAGGTGTTATCATATGTAATGTGATGCAAAATATGAAAGCCCTATCTTCTCTCATTCAAGTTATTACCAATGTAAAAAAAAAAAAGCTGAAAAAGACTGTGGGTTAAATTTAAGGTCAAGGTTAAGAGGTCAAAAACCAGATTACATTCTGAGAGGTCTTGAAAAAGAAATAAACATGTCAAATACAAATGCCTTATCTTCTCTCATTCAAAAGTTATCAGCAATGTAAATTGGTTTTGAAAATTAGGTCAAACTTCAAGGTAGAGATCATGGAGTTAATTAAGTCATAGCAAATTTGGAAACATCTAGTCACAGGTAATGCACATGTCAAATATGAATGCCATACCTTCCTTCCTTAAAAAGTTAGCAGCAATGATAATTTTTTTTTTGAAAATTATGTCAAACTAATACTTGAAGGTCAAGATCACAGAGTCAAATATCATAGCACATTCTAAAGCTTCTTGTCACAGGTAATGTACTTACCAAATATGGATACCCTATCTTCTCTCATTCAAAAGTTATCACAAATGTAAAATTTTGAAAATTAGGTCAAATTCAAGATCAAGGTCAAGGGGTCAAAAATCACAGTACGTATATTTGGAAAGGTCTTGTCATAAGCAAAGTACATGTGAAATATGAAAGCCCTCTTTTGGCTCATTCAAAAGCTATGACCAAGGATAAAGTATTTGTGACAGACAGACTGACTGATGAATGAGATTTAATGTCCCCTGGCTTTCTTGAAAGCTGGGGACAAAAAATAAGCCTAGTGCAATACTATTTTTTTTTCAAAACTCAATGATAAATAATTAGATGACAGAGTCTGAATTACTTCTCACCTGATATAAATGTCTGAGTTTCTGCATGCCCTCTCGGTGGCCCCAGGAACAAAGTTCATGAAGGCCTTGTAAGTGAATATCAAACTGTCGCCCTGATGTAATCTTCACAGATTTTGGCTGGAAAAATAAAACTATGTTTGAGGATGCAGTTTACTACCTCTAAAACTTGCATATTACATTGTAACTCACTGAGTTTTATCTTGAGGAAGAAAGAAAGGAGATAATAAAAATGTAGTACAGTGTATTCTGATTGTTAGTCTTATTGACCTTTGACCCTGAAATATGCAATTGAAATGAAGCTTTTTCAATTTTGCAATTTTTAAATCACTATCTTGGTAGAATACATGATACAAAATTGCTAACGCACAATCATGGAAAGTTTCCATTTTTTTCTTTGAAAATGTGTTCTTTATATTTGCATTCATTAAAGATAGCAATAGGTCACCTGAGTAAACTCAGGTGACCTAAAAACTCAGAAAAAACATGACTGAGTATGCTGCATTTGACCATAAAAGAGTGTGGTAGGTCAGTTGGTACAGTGTCTGCAAGATGTTCCCTTGGAGATGTTTGTTTAAAAATAAACCAATTCAAAATTTGTTATTTAATTAATTCTATTGCCTGAAAAGTACTTTAAATGGATTAAGGAATGTAAAAATGTTATTAATTGGTAAACACGATGTTTAATAGACATCATAGGATAGCTATTTCAAGACATGTACCATAAAATTCTGGCAAACAGAAGTGTGATGGACTGGGTATGGATGCCAAGGCACGAAGTAACTTCTAGGCAACATATGTTAGACATTTTGCTTGATATCATTTGAGAGACAGGGTTAACATTGCTGTTACTACCTCTCAAACAATTAACGGTAACCACCAACATTATATAAGTGCACTAAAGGTGGGCAATTGGGTTCAGAAAATTAAATTTTTTGCACAAAAGGGCTTTTTGAGGGAGTAATGTTGAAATAAACACATTGACTGCAGTATGCAAGACAGCTAGCAATTAATTTTACACAGAAATTGTGCAATGTGGCAGATGTTGTATTTGCATATGAAAGTACTGAATGAATGGTGTATTAGCAATTTTGTTTGGTGTATGTATATACATGTAATTTGAAATTTTGAATTCGGCATGACTTTTTGCATGGCCGTAGGAACCGGGGGGGGGGGGGGGGGGGGGGGGGGGGGGCATAATTTTGCCAATGTATAGAATACTATAGAAAACTTAGCTACTATATGCTTGTGCCCCTTCAATAAAAACAGCTGATGACCTTTTTTCTTTTCTTTTTTTTTTTTTGGCTTGTCAAGGAATTTTGGTAGTTGATAGTGCCCCCCCCCAACTGAAAATGTTTGGCTGTGCCCCCCCAAACTGAAATTGCTTCCTTTGGGCCTGTTTTGTGTGCAAAGAATTCAAAGACCCCAAACTTTGAAACAAAAGATTTTTCATTGAAATTCTAAATCCCTACAAAACTATAATTACCCGATAGAACCTTGTATCTGGAAAGAGTGTTGCTGAGTTCTCGGGTGAGGATCCATAAGATCCGGCTGTAAAAGTAAAGGTTGCAGTATTTCACTTAGTCTAACAAATATATAAACAATATTTTTTCCGTATCTCAAAAAAAAATTACCCATACAGTAATCAGTCAGGGGCATGATGGAAACAAACTATGTTAAATAATTTGTTTAAGTTATTAAATGTCATGATTTTGGATTATCTCTAGCTGATTTCGTTTTTCTTCAGTAATTTATTCAGGTTTTTAATACTTTATTATTCGTTATCTTGAACCTACTGGTATCTGAAAAGCTTTATTCATGCTATACATGGGGTGCTTAGTAAACAGAAAAGGTTTTGGAAGTAAAACATGTAAAAGTAATCCGTTTAAAATTTCACAAGCTGAAATACATCAAATTACAGTAAAACACGGTTATAGCAAACATGCACGCTTATAATGAATTTAAGCTTACAGCAAAGTGATTTTCTTTCCTTCTGGATTTAAAACGTGTTGTTAATTTAACGGATATATCGAACACTTTAATTTATAATGAATCAAAATTGTTGGTTGCTGGCATTTTGCTATATGCGTTTTTTACTGTATAATTTAATTCAGTTATTTCATCCTTTTAACCCTACGTCACTTCAGAACTATTGCACAGAAATCTGCAGCTTTGCGCAAAAAATAATAAGACATAGAAATTGAACACTAATATTCAAGAATTTTCAGAAAATCATTCAAAGTGTTCTCAAAATTGGCAGAAGTTAAGCAATTGACCACTGAAATGTTCATGAAATACAATTATTTGGCACATTTTTTAATGTTTTTATTTATGTGTATATGTACAAGATATTTAGTGTTGTATTTGAACTAGCGGAAGTTGCTTTCTGCCAAAGGTGCTAAAAAGAATACACAGCCAAATGTTATACATTAACAGTATGAGGCTAACTCATATAAAAGTATGGGCAGACATAAAACAATGGTATTCAATGTTTCGGTGAACTTACATAAATTTGAGACAGGAACAGAGTTTTCTATTTCCTCCCATTCCTGGAGGCTACAGGAATCAGACTTTGGTCGCGGAATGTCTACTTTTGCTTTCACTTCCAAACGTGCAAACCTGTGTTCAAGCTTCTTATCCACCTTTCAAAACAATGTGATATACATCAAACTGCTCAACAGGCCTGGAACTGTTATAACTATCTAATGATCAACTAATATCAACATGTCATTGCTTACAGATACTTTACTTAGCTCAGAAAACAATCAATGAATTTTATGAAAGTTATTAATTTTCACTCCAATTCTGCTGATTAAAAGAAAGCATTCAATTTAAATTTTGCAAAGACTAAGCCCCTTATAAAAATAAACATGTAAGTTATAACATAATCCTAAACAGAATCAAACTGAATAATTAATGTATAACAAACATGTAAAGGTGGAGTAAACAATGTCCTGAATTATGTCAGAAAATTGTTACATAAAAATATTTATCAGTCTTAGATTTATAGAAAGAAAAATAAAAATGATTGATAGAGTGAAAAGCATACAAGCAATTGATAAAAAGATCCTACCACTGACTGAGAGAAGAACATACCAGTGACTGACAGAAGAACATACCAATGATTGATGGAGAGAACATACCAGTGATTGACAGAAGAACATAACCAGTGATTGATAGAACATACCAGTCAATGACAGAAGAACATATCAGTCAATGACAGAAGAACATACCAGTGATTGATAGTAGAACATACCAGTGATTGACAGTAGAACATATTGATCAGTGATTGACATAAGAATATACCAGTAATTGACAGAAAAACATACCAGTCATTGACAGAAGAACATATCAGTGATTGACAGAAAATACAGTGATTGACAGAAGAACATACCACTGACTGACAGTAGAGCATACCAGTGATTGACAGAAGAACATATCAGTGATTGACAGAAAAACATACCAGTCATTGACAGAAGAACATATCAGTGATTGACAGAAAATACAGTGATTGACAGAAGAACATACCACTGACTGACAGTAGAGTATACCAGTGATTGACAGAAGAACATATCAGTGATTGACAGAAGAACATACCAGTCATTGACAATACAACATACCAGTGATTGATAGAACATACCAGTGATTGACAGAAGAACATACCAGTGATTGACAGTAGAACATACCAGTGACTGACAGTAGAACATATTGATCAGTGATTGACAGAAGAATATACCAGTCATTGACAGTAGAACATACTGATCAGTGATTGACAGAAAAACATACCAGTGATTGACAGTAGAACATACCAGTGACTGACAGTAGAACATATTGATCAGTGATTGACAGAAAAACATACCAGTCATTGACAGTAGAACATACCAGTGACTGACAGTAGAACATATTGATCAGTGATTGACAGAAGAATATACCAGTCATTGACAGTAGAACATACTGATCAGTGATTGACAGAAAAACATACCAGTGATTGACAGAAGAACATATCAGTGATTGACAGAAGAACATACCAGTCATTGACAGTACAACATACCAGTGATTGATAGAACATACCAGTGATTGACAGTAGAACATACCAGTGACTGACAGTAGAACATACCAGTGATTGATGGAGAGAACATACCAGTCATTGACAGTACAACATACCAGTGATTGACAGAAGAACATACCAGTGATTGACAGAAGAACATACCAGTGATTGACAGAAGAACATACCTGTCCAGTGATTGACAGTAGAACATACAAGTGATTGACAGTAGAACATACCAGTGATTGACAGAAGAACATACCAGTGATTGACAGTAGAACATACAAGTGACTGACAGTAGAACATACCAGTGATTGATAGAACATACCAGTCATTGACAGAAGAACATACCAGTGATGGACAGAAGAACATACCAGTGATGGACAGAAGAACATACCAGTAATTGACAGAAGAACATACCAGTAATTGACAGAAGAACATACCAGTGATGGACAGAAGAGCATATCAGAGATTGACAGAAGAACATACCAGTGACTGTTTGATGGTGTGAAGTACATTCTGTGTCTCTGTGATGTTGGTTTCCAGGGACCTCAGATTTCTGTAGAAAATGTCCTCACTAAATGGCTGTGAAAGCTTTCTTGACCTCATTCTCAATAACATTTCAGCTATTGTAGAGAATGAATTAAGATATATATATATATACATACATTGCATACATTAATAGTAGGGATGTCAAAATTGTCAATAATTCATATTCGAATATTCGATAATAGTATTCGAATATATTCGAATATTCTATAAAGTAAATAATCTTTGCATTATATTATATATATCTTCATTCTACTGTTAGCTAGTACACATTTTATGCCGTTATTTTAGAATAAAATGTAGAGTTTTGTAAATGTACAGTAACTAAAGTATCTTAATTTATAAAATGTTTCTTAAAATTTTATAGAATAAATAGAAATTAAGTGTATACATCCAAAACATAATTCAAAAAATATTTTGAAAATTCAAAACATTAATTGATTGCCCTTCCAAAGACTACATTATAACTCCTATAAATTGATACCGCACATAAAAATTATCTACTGGAGATAAATTATCTTATTTGATATATTATGTTTTGAAAATAAAAACAAACAACTCAAAAGCAATTATTTTCAGTTCATTAATTTCCTAAAAATAATTTTAATGATATATACCTAAACAAGGAATCCAAGCGTTTATTGTAATTGTAAAATTGTGTCCTTACAACAATACAAATTGAATGTAAGTACCAGGCACTGTTATACAGCACCACTAATTCAATGATCAAATGAATAATTTATTTTACTACATTCACTCTTCACACTTTAAAGATAATCTTCTTAAAATATTGCCAATCATTTGATTTTGAGTAAATGACATTTCTCCTGAAACATATGATTCTAATTAAAATGTAATCAATTGAACTTGATTAAATTTCTAATAAAGCTTGCCAGATTTTTCTCTCTTTTAAATGCATGTATACTTAAAAAGTGAATATTCGAATATAAAATACATATTCGAATATCAACTCATCGAATGAATATTCGAATATTCATTGACATCCCTAATTAATAGTTATTAAAACAGGTTTATATCTGTTAATAAAGAGAGTTTCTTTTTCTTTGGTCTCACATTTTTTTCCTATGGTATCCCTTTGAAATTTTTTAAAAGGAATAACGGTAAAATTGATACTTTTATTCTTCACACACTTTATGAATTCACTGACAAGGGTACTCTTGTATTGTAGAATATACCAAAAATTTAAACTGATACACATCTACATGAACATGTGCCAAATAATGGCATACAGAGCAAGTGTCTGAATGGTCATACAGTATCCATAAGGAAAGTTTATAGATGTTGTAGAGCTTATAGGAAATTGCTTTGAACAAAAAACATATGAACTTCTATGTATCTTTTACCTTTGGTATAATGCAGGTCCATCAGATGCATTTCCAAGTTGTTCTTAAAAACCAGTCTGTTCCCATACTTTAAATATCTCACAACCTAAAACATACATGAAATCTGTAAGCAATGTGTTCTATGAGTAATAATATGTAATGTCTTATTAAGCTGAAATCAAATTTTAAATCCTTTACTGAAAAATGCAATTTCTTAATCATTTAATACATGTACTCAATTTACAAAACATATATATTAAGTAAAGTTTAAGACTTCCTAAATAATAATAAACATTCACAATTCTATTAATGATATTAACTTAGATACGAGTATGAGTAAGTTCATTCACCACAACAAATCTGATTTCACCATCATCCAATTATGCTTCAAAAAACATCCTGTATAGGACTTAATTCTAAAGCCATGTCGATGGATAACACTGAAGAAAGACAATGGTATGTCACCTTTATAATCACTTAGAATGATGAATACTTCATACCTTTTTCATCTGCTGACAGATCTCGTCATAAAAATGAAGCAGTTTCCTGAAAGAGTTTTCCAATGACGTTTAAAGCACTGAGCATCTTCGCTAGCCAAGGGTTTCTGATCCGCTACTCTCCTCACAACCCTTGGCCTATGGTGCTATTAAAAGTTGGGTTATTTTTCTAGAGTTCTGATTGGAGTTAATCGACATCGTTCGACCAATCAGCAATTGCTTTTGTAAATAATGATATTTGCGTTTGGGATATATCTTGATTCTTTAGTCTCGGGAATGAAAAACACAAATAAACAACGATCTTCAAGATAACGTGACACTTTATAAATAGATATGGTGTCATCCAATCTTAAGCTAATGTGCAAATATTGTGATCAGGAATCATTATTGCAGATGTAGATTTGCAAGATAAATAACAAATAAACATTACTCGATACCTTCTTGTTAATTATTCTTTAAAAACTTAAATTTTTAAATACGCCTTTTATTTTTGTCGATGACACAATCTGTGCATACGTAAGAAGACTGGAAACTTTTGACAGCACCGTAGGCCAAGGATTAGTGAGGAGAGTAGCAGATCAGAAGCCTTTGGCAACCGAAGATGAGCACTGAGATGCATTTAAGGAAAATCACATATCACTAACCCATACCAAAACTAATGCCAATAAATATCATAGTATCTGAAACTTAATTCTCTCTGAGAAAAAAAAAGCTTCTAAATTTTATTGTTTCAAAAAAATTTTTTTTTTATTATTTCAGAAACAATCCTCAGTATAAAATAACATGTATATACTGTACCTGTTATCTGGGGTAATGTAGCTAATGGCAAAAGGTCTGACATAGCCACGAGCATGGCGATCATACAAAGCAAAATGATGTACCTAAAACATGAAAAATCTCAGGAATATTGAATATTACAGAATTGAAAACACACATTTACTAGCTGTTATAGAAATATGTATATGCTTTAAGGATGTCAACGAATAGTTGACTATTCGACTATCAGTCGAATGGACCGACGATCGAATAATGAAACGACATTCGAATATTATTAATTAAATAAATGCAATAAAAGAGTGATTACGTGGAATTCTCATCACAAAACTGAGAAACCATCTTTCCTCAGAGAAAGTCGATAAGATAGTTTTCCTCAACAAAAAACGGTTGATTTTCCATGTACGTATAGAAAGTACAGTAATTATAAGTGCTTCACTACTGCCGCATACTGCGGGAATTATCAGTAACTGCCTCTGTTGTTTTTGTAATTCATTACCTACCAATTTACAAGGCTTTGATTGTAAAATTATTAATTGGACTTGATATACCATGTACCAATAATTATTATTTTTTGTTATTTTAAGATTGCTCAAACGCAAGGAAGAAACCATAATTGTGACATGTTTTGACACTTCGATAATTATTAAAACAATTCGCTTATATTTTAAACTGTATAAGGACATTTTGATAGCCAGAGCAAACACTAATCGAATAAGCATGCAGTATCTAACTGTTTAACAATTTCACAGGCACTTGACATGTGGATAGTGTGAGGTTAACCCCCTTCCCCTATTTCATAACAAGCTTTAAAAAATATATCCTGGCATTTTTTTTCTTTGCTTACTAAAAATTAATAATGAAAACTGACTGCATGTGCAGACCGATTTATGAATTCTATTGAAGGGGAAATCGTACATTTTGGAGAATTAGGTTTCGAAATTCAAATAATCATGCTATTCATGCGTTACATTGCATAAATTTTGATGTTACTTTTTAAATAGATTTAAGTAAAAAAAAACATTTTTCTTTCTGTTCTATAAATTAAGTTTGTACATGTATAAGAAATACACATTTATGTCATATTTCCAAAACATACATAACAAAGATATTATATATGTAAATATGAAGTATAATGATATGTGACTCTTTGACAAAAACATAAAGAAGCAGTCAATTTGTTTCACTTTACAGCTCATTATCAAATGGAATATTAGTCTGGGCCCCATTCTGCAGAAGAACTTCTAAGACCAAAATGTAATTATGTGAATATCCATCTTTCTTCTTTTCATGAATTTGAAAATTTTATTTATCATAATATATTTAAAAGAGTTTAAATAGATATCTTTGTGCCAGAAATTTTTTACAGAATTATTAATTTTGCAAGATTTTACATTAAACTTAAGATTTTGGCCTTAGTAATTTGTTCTTTTGTAAAACTGGGCCATGGTTACTTACAAATGCAAAAACATTATCTTTGATCTCAGAAAACATCACTTGAGAATCTTCAATCAGATGAAATCCCCTAAAAGTACAAATAGGACACATCATCTATTTTTCTGATGTTGATCTAACAAGCCAAATGTATTTCCTCAGTTGTATGAAATGAGATTTGCTTACTGTTTTGTTGTAGTTTGGTGATCCAGGGACATGATTCTGACAGAGAAATCTGTGATGTTGAAGTTACTGGATCCACCCCTTGGGATTGTCAGCTAAAAAGTTTAGACTAAATATTAATATTAACCTCTTAGTTTCTGTCTACATAAAACTAAAAGTAGTGATAAAGTACTGTTACTGTAAAAGCATTTATTAAATATTTGTTGGGAATTAAATTTTGGTTATTTTGTCGTTCACAATTGTTCACAATTATCAAAGAAACTAAATCCAAAACGTTAAATTTTAATATGGTTTTAGAATGAATACAGGTTATCTTTTAAACAATGAAATTTAATCCCCATGAAACCATTATAGAACACAGATCGACAAAAAATTTCTGCTTCTACAGTATTATTTATCATTCAGTATACCTACAGTATTATCAGTGTACTAGTTAAATGGACTGCAAAGGCAATCATATACCCATCATTCAAGCAATTTACAAAATTCTACTTTAAATAACATGTATGTACATTTGCCCTTTGACAATGATTTTCCTCACTTGCTTTAATATAGTGAGGATAATTCCTGTTTTGGGTTATCTTCTAGATTTTTATTCTTTATTCATTAATTTAAAACATGTATGATTTTTACAACCAGAGTTAAAGGTACAGTCAAACCTCGTTATCTCGAACTTAAAGGGACCAAGAAAATACTTCAGATAACCGAGAATTCAAGATATCCAGGGTAAAATACTTAAGGAATAAGTAGTTGGGTCTTCAAAATGAATTTGACATATCCATGGTACATTGTATTTGAGATATCCATGTTTGAGATACCAAGTTCAACTGTATACATGTATATATATATTAAAGTGCTCTTGTTGTAATACTTTGTGGCTTGAAAACTTACAACCACTCAATTAAACAATCGAAATAAGAAGGCATCTAACAGTAGTCAACAATCATGCATGTATACAACAAAGAATTGTTAATTCATATGATCAAAATATGCTAAATACCACTTCTCTTGGTCCCTCTAACTCAGAAAATTCAGCCACCAGGATGAAGTCCATGTCTAGTTGTGTCTCACCAGTAAGCTGCTGGTTCCACGGGTGGGGAATTTGTGTATGGGGGCTAAGGTACTCTTCCAGATCGAAATTCCATCCATTTTCAGTTTGTGGTTCTTCCTCTTGTATGTACAAATTGTAGGGAAGGTCTGCACCAAACATTTTCTGACTTTATAATGCTCTCTTAAAAGAAAAAGAATTATGATTCATTAATTTCTCATGTGGGATCATTCAATATCAGGCCTACTGTTGTACATTCAACTAAAACATTCAACTATATATGCTAATGCTATGAAATACTAATTATAGGATCACCCATTTCTTCCCTTCAGGGCAATGGAGCAAGCACTCACTGGCAACAACCTAGGAGAGCAGGAATGCATGAGCAACAATGTAAAGAAGGACATCAGGATGACAAAGCAAGAAAGGGAGGGCATGGGGTGAAAAAGCATGCAGAGAAGGGAGGACATGAAGATGTCAATGCAAGGGAGAAAGGACATGATGATGACACTGCAGGAGAGGAAGGATATGTGGGTACTTTAATCATGTTTGTACTATCAATTTCAATCTGGTTATGCATTATTTTATACTAATGCTTAAATGAAATGACCAATTTTAACAGCAATTTTTTATCCATGTTTTTCTTTGATATTCTTTTATTTTTCAGTGCTCTCTTCACTCCAGGCAGACACCAATGTTGTAAGTACTAAGTATACAATGATCTCACCATCACTTAAAATGGTTAAAAATGGGAAAAGGAATTTCAAATTCCCATTGGGTACACAAGAGATATGGTAATACACTTACCAAGCAATTGATTAATTAATAAAAATTAAGCATGGAAAAAGCAATGATTTATTCATTAAACAGGTTGAGCAGACTTTCTTTATAGAGTAATTGTTAAGCTGAAAGGGAATTATTCCTCTTTAGAGTAATAAAAAACATTACTACATAATCAGATTTTCACTTGTTTCCCCCTCTATTCTCGTGTTTACTTTGAGTAAAAGATTAAGTGCAAGAATATTTCTATTAAGTATATGTATTAATTAAACTTTAATTTATACTATAAAGTAAAAGTATTTACTGCTGCAAAAAGTTGAAAAAGAGTGATGAAATATTGCTATGATGTATTTCTTATGAAAGCTCATTTCTGTGTTAAAAATGTTAGACTGCATGAATACATCCAGCACTTGCTAACTTCTACATAAAATCATTCATTCTTATTTAATTATATAATATTTCTGCAGGTTTTGTACATGTATTGCCTAAAACTGCTGACAAATGTCCAATTTTATAGCAAACAGGCTGTTCCACGGACCTCCCCACAACATGTACACTCCATGAATTTACTGGTTAACCCAACTAAATCGACAAAAGATTTATCTACTTTATAACCATAAACATTAATTAATACACATATGTGTTGCAAATAAATTTATGAATAATTAAAGGATATTTGTTATCCAACAAAAGGTCGATTGTCTGCATTCCACTTGCAATCGATACACAAGTAAATTACCAAATAAGTTGACCCTCTGGTGTGACAATAAACATGATAAACAGCTAAATCATGACATGCTGACTTAATTCATTTCTCTACAGAGAAAATGAACAGTCATATCTTAGAGTTTTTAGTAGAACTAAACTAACATCCTCATTGTCATCGCTAGAAGATGCAGAATAACCTCCTCAATTTCGAAGGTTATCCTGCAACACCCATGAAAACGTGAATTTTATTTTTTGAATAAACAGATTCCCTGCATTATCATGATTATTTTAAAAATGAAGAAATTTCCATCATACATTAATGCTTTTTTGTTACTGTAAAGAGTAACAGTTCCATTTTAGCATAACTGTTACAATTACTTTATAAGGAAAGCCAGGGCTAGAAACAATATTTTTTTTATCACTGCATCATGGTCACTCAGACTATTAGGGCTGTCACGAGTACCCGAAATAACCAGGAACCGCGGTCCAAGTTGTTCGGTTCCATTTTTCAGGATTTCGGTTCGGGTCTAGTTTATATATTAGAGTCTGTTCAATACAAAAAATGGCGTCGAAATCAAAGGAATGATGACGATAACAGTGATAAATAAACATCACAACTGAAATCTACTTCATTCCATGACAGAACACTTGTCACGGAAGTATTAGATAATTACAGAACGAGCAGGAATGGTCAGGTTGTGGCTAATAGAAGGCCAAGTCACCGATGTCTAGACGTTGGCATAGTTAAGACTTGTTTTCAATGTAAATTTAATGTAACAAATAAAGATTTTTCAAGTTAATTCATGAAATTAAGGTTTAAAATAGATGTAAATAACCGACCCGAAAAACATGAAACCGAACCGAAAATTTACAGAACCGACCCAACCCGAAAAATTTTGGAACCCTGACAGCCCTACAGACTATCGCCTTAAATTTTTACTGGTCAACTAAGTACTCTCACTGTCCCAATGGACCAGTAGATTTTTAAAAGACTGGCCCAAAACCATAATAATATTTGAAGCCCTGTGAAGTGTACCTAACCCAGGGCTCGAAATAAGTAATGGCCAGCTTCTAGGGCCAGTGAATTCTTAATCTGAGCTAGTACATTGTAGAAGACATGTGCCCTTTGGGTCAGTGTTTTTTTGTGCATACATAATTCATTCTTGGTCGGGATAGTTAACTTGACAGGGTTGTGCATCCAAGTTCTGCCTTTTCTTGTTTTGTTAAGTTGTAGTCTATCATCACAATATAAACAATTAAAATATTACTATTATTAATATTATGGTTTTGAGCCAGTCTTTTTAAAATCTACTGGCCCACTGGGACAGTGAGAGTACCGAGTTGACCAGTAAAAATTCAAGGTGAAAGTCAGAGTGACCAGTGAAAAAAATTATTATTTTTAGCCCTGCCAACCTGTTAAATTTTAGCTTGAATGTAGATTTTATCTTAGCCGTGTTAGCTGGTGAATTTCATGTCTACAGGCTTAAATTACATCCTGTGGAAGAAAAAGTTAATTTCGATCCCTGAACTAGTAATTAGTTACTTGTCACTTAAAGTAGTCCGTCTAACCGTTTGTGATTATGATCATCCGCAAGGCCGGGCTATTGTTCACCAGCTGTTCACATACTGTGATATCGGCTGATCGGAGGCGCCTTATGTTCTATACGTCTACACATGCTGCTTACCTAATACTAAAAAGTATCACTTCTACAAAATTTTCTCTCGGTCTACATTGCTATTGTTGGTGGAACAACCAACATCTGACAGGGACACACTTGACACTACAGTCACTACTCGATCTTTCAACCGGAAGTTGTCTTTTAACTAGTCCACTAACCTACTTTCACTTTCACCTGTTTCCCGTTCTGCGTTCGGTTCACAAGGAAAGTATAGAAGAATGGCAACACCAGTGAAAGTTGTGAAGCGTGATTTCGGTTCATTTCATGCCTCAAATGTACAAGATTTGATAAACCTATCTGATGTAAGTAATACAGTAAAAATACTGTGTACTGATCATTTTGATATGTGGAATGCTAATCCAAGCCATGTTTTAGAATATACTTACACAGAAACTTGTGCAATTGTGGCTTGCGCAGGAGAGTCGCGTTTGATTATCATCTTTATCCACGGCAGGAAGAGTCGTCGTTAGTTCCTTTCTCAGACGCTAGAAATATTAATTATAATGAAAATATTGAGTATGTGCATATATTAAAAAAAAAGATCCTTTTTATATATCCCTATGATTATATGTACATGTACATGTATATCAAAGATTACAGTAACTTAATTGAAAATACAGTAACCAAAATATCAGAGACGTATACATCTCTGCTATTAAAGTGAAAAAATGAAAATGTTTAATATTAGAATTTTATGGCACATTGCACTTTTTTAATTTTCAGGAAGAATACGAACCGCCAGCTTTTCCAAAGGGTCTAGAAATCCCCAATTTCAATTCTGAAATCGAGTTTGGTGAAAAGTTCCGTGACGAACATATGTTGCTAGAGGTTGTATTTAAATGCTTTTTTTTTTTACATTGTACATAACGCTCTTACCTTCCATATTATTTATTTTTAAATTTAATCCATATTAGAGAAATGCAAGGTAGTTATGCTATTGTATTGTATTATATTCTAAATTTCAGATTTTCCATACAACGCAAAATAATTATTATTTGAAACTATATTAGCATTAGAAACTATATAAGTATCAGTCTTTTTTGTTATAAGAAAAACATGTAGTGAGAATGGTTAGATTTTGTCATTTATTACAGTTCACCTCAATAAAGTCAAAATCAACTATGTAATACACATGTATATGTACATATATGACCTGTAAACATTTCACTGAGGAATACAATTAATTGAACATAGGTACATGTATTTAGTTAAAGACTTGCAATTATCTAGAATGTGCCACAGGTACTTTTTCAGAAATAGTTTTGTACTTGTGGAATGTACATAAATATCAGAGAAAATATAAATGACTGCAAAAATACTAGGCACACTGCATGGGCGGATACAGGATTTGTGATTGGGGGGGGGGGGGGGTTGGATAACTTCGTTCAGGCAGGGAGTCTGGGGGCTGCCTTAAGGCCCCCAGTGGGTTCAGGGCGAAGCCCTGGTGGGGGCCCAGGGGGCGAAGCCCCCGGAAGCTCCTGGGTTTTCGTGTATTTTAAGAGTAAAACCAGGCACAATAATAGTGGTATTGGTTAGTTTATATGTACCAAAGTTTGGCATTATTAATACTAGTCATATCATACTTTGAATAGAGGCATCCCAAGAAATCCCGTCTGATTTAGCTTTGAGCTGAACTCAGTACAAGCGCTATTAACGCTAATCACCGATATTCCCCTAAGAGTGATTCGAGACAATTTATTACAGAATCTTGGAGAGGTAGATCTAAAAAAAAAATACTTTAACAAATATTTTCCTCGGATGTCATTGATAATTATAGCATTTATTTTCTTTAATATGCTCAATATTATTTTGCAACCACGCGTTCTTCTGCTTTTTTGCATGTGGAATTTATTTAAATTTTATTTAGAATTAATATTAATTAAATTTATCTTGAAATTTAGCGATTTCTTTTTTATTATAGCCTTATATTTTTTTTAATTTAAGGAAAATCTATTGTGTACAAGTCCCTCTAAGACACCGTGAGTTACCCCATACCCTGCATATTTAACTTACCCCTTGAGAAGAAGGTAAACATGGCCTATTTACACCCTTCCTACTACGCATTCAAAGGCAATATTTCTCAATATTTAAAATTTTAATTCTTTTCCCCGTACACTCTCCTCCCCATCTATGCCCCAAAATCAGCCCATTCCACCCCGAAGAATATATTTATGAAACAACCTGTGTTTTTATATGGCACTACTTGCGTCAATGAAAAGGGGTAAAATTAGTAACCTGTGATACACTAATACTTTCTAACATCAAAATAAGGGTTACAAACTCAAACATGTATTTTAATTTCCATTTTATTTTAATTTGTTTATTGTTTACTCGTTTATTTCTATAATTATATGTTTCATTTTAAACTCGTTATTATTATTGAGCACGTAGGAAATTTAAATCACCCCCCCCCCCCTTCCAATGAAAGGTCTTATATTGTTCTTTTAAAGCTTTAATTTTAAATCTGAAAAAATGTTGGATCCTTCCCTCAACAGTGTTGCCATCACTGGTCTCGCATCACTCTCATGGGTAATATAAAGATTAGCGTTAATTGCGCTTTGATTGAATTCAGTCTAAAGCAACACCGGAGAAAATCCACAGAATTTCTTCTCATGGGGCCCAGGGGGCGAAGCATCCGGAAGCTCCTGGGTTTTCGTGTATTTTAAGAGTAAAACCAGGCACAAAAATAGTGGTATTGGTTAGTTATATACCAAAGTATGGCATTATTAATATTAGTCATATCATACTTTGAAAATTTTAGGGGGGGGAGGCGTGCTCCCCCCCACGCCCCCCTTAAATCCGCCAGTGCACTGAGAGGGTATATTTTAGGAGTTCATATGAACAATATTGTAGTAACAGCTCTTACACTACAGAAAGAATAAATTATAAATTTGTATCAGTAATAATTTATGAAAACTCAATATCCATGTCGTTCAAATATTTCAAATAATTTCGAACATTTGTACATGTAATCTTGAACAGGGAAACATATTGCAATGATGAAATAGTGTTTGTGCAAACTTTGTGGTGAAACTTAGCACATTGCATGGCTGAAAATTATGCTGTCGATCACTCATGTTGATAAGACACAGGGAGGCTAATGCACACAATATTAGTTTTTTTTTATTCCATACTGTTCGGTCCAAATAAAAAGTAACCATCAAATTTCAGAAGATCGATAAAGAACTTGAAAAAAATGTCATGACTTGTGTGTATAGATTGCTAAAGTTCAAAGTAAATAGGAACGAAAACCAGTGAATCAGAAAATAAATTATGAAGGAAACTAGTTTTGTCGATAATTTGAAATCTGCTAAAAAAAACTTTTCTAATACAATACCGGGAGGGATGCATGTAAAGTACCTGAGAGGAAAAAAATCAAGACACTGAATCCCTTTTCCAAAGTCTAGAACCACTTGAGCATCGAACTGGAAGAAATTTAAGGACTTTTGTTTGATCCCATTTGAAACTGAATTAAGGAAATTACTTAAAACAAAATATAAAACATCAAATAAGTCCCCGAGATTTCGACGTACTTGATCTTTTAAAATATTGAAAGTACCAAATGACTTGTGCCTCTTAAACTAGAAGATTAAAAATTAATGAGAAACATCCATGCATGTAACTATGCTTTTCTTAAATCCTGGATAAAAAGAACGTAAAAAACGGGCTTTTGTTCACGAGACTGTAATTAATGTAATTATATCGAGGATTCGTTCAATTTCTTTTATATAAAACTTATTTATTTCCCTTGATTTGTGAGCCTAATGCCTCGATCTGATGCTAACCGATTTCTACGTTATGTATTGGCCGAAATAGCAAACGTGAAACGCATAAATTTGAAGAATTGTTACAAACACGTGGCTAGTAGACAAGGACATTTCATTTGATGATTATTGGCCGTGTAACTATTTGATTTTAACTTTTGTACTTATATAAATTTTGTGCTTAATTTTCAATTTAGATTCAGTATTCTGGCACAACAATTGTTTGCATTCCGCACACAAACATGCATTGGTCAGCAGAAAAAAATGGAGAACACATCTAACGCTACATGCATTAATCTGTTAATTTGCGATTGTTCCGAAAGTATATCTATTTAAAGGAAAATTGTCACATGCAATCACATGAAGTCTTACTATCACACTGTCATGTAATGCATAAATATGTTAAATGTGTGTAACAACGTTTGGGTGTATCAGTTCGGGGGGAAAATTTACTGAGAAGGCACGTAACTCCCATAGACCGAAAAGCATGCAGTGCATACAATTAAATTAAACTTTGCCATATAATTTGGAAAACTGTAAAAATCAAGAAATTATGAGATAAATCAAATGAAGTTTATTTCTTCACATGTAGTGGAGCGGATAGTTAAAAAAAAATCAAATTCAAATTTGGCATGAAGGTTCCTTGTCTATAGTTTTAGCCATCTTCAAAATGACCGCAATGATTTTCAAAATGTCTTTTTTTCTTAAATTGCATATTAGCATTTTCAATATTTTTCTCAATCATTTTAAAAATCTTAGAAATATTCAATCAAAATTTGGTCCAACATATTATTAAAGTGTTACTTCACAGAAAGCATGAGTACAGGTTGTTGCTGTTTCATAGTACTCATGAGACCTAATCTTCAGAGCAGTTACTGCTGCTTTGAGCAGTACACGGTTATTCTTACCTGACTTATTTGTAGTTACCTAAACAAGTTATTCTACATCTATTCAACTACACGTACTTCTTGGCATGAGGCCGCCATTGGTGCCAAAGATATCCCGTGTGGAACCCAAACTCCGCTGTATTTTTCACACATTAGTTCCAACGATGAAGGAAAAATTTGCGACTTTCATACGGGATGCCTTCACGTATGCTCTGCTTTCGAGACAGCTAGATGTTGATAAGCTCATAAGGAGCAGCCCTTGAGGAGAGAAATGCCATCAAGGGAACCGTGTCTAGAGTAAAGATGTCAAGAAAGACGGATTTCACTCAGGTGACCTGTTGCTATCCGTTCTCGTCCGGCGTCGTGCGGCGTGTGTTAACATTTGAACATTTTTAGCTTCTTCTCTGAAACCGCTTAATCAAATTCAACCAAATTTGGTATATAGCATCTATGGGTGAAGGGGAACAAAAATTGTGAATTTCATGGTCCCTGCCACCCTGGGGCCTGAGGGGTGGGACTAAAACCACCAAACATAATGCAATCTTTAAAAATCTTCTTCTTTACTCCTGGACATCAAGCAGTCAAACTGTTGGCATCATTGTAATAATCATTGAGCCCTCTACCAAAATTGTGAAATTCATGGCCCCTGGGTCAGGGGTTCTGGCCTCAGGGTGGGGCTATATAGATCATATAGTGAAAGTGCATTAATTCTTTGAAAATCTTCTTCTCTGCTCCTGGGTATTAAATAAAGTAACTAAGTACATAGTTATGATGAGCAAGGGTGCCTCTTCCAAAATTGTGAAATTCATGGCCCCAGGGTCAGGGGTTCTGATGTTAGGGCGGGGCTCTATTGATTATATAGTGAAAATGCATTAATTCTTTGCAAATCTTCTTCTCTGCTCCTGGGTATTAGATAAAGTACAGTGTAACTAAGTACATAGTTATAATGAGCAAGAGTGCCTCTTCCAAAATTGTGAATTTCATGGCCCCAGGGTCAGGGGTTCTGGTGTTAGGGCGGGGCTCTATTGACTATATAGTGAAAATGCATTAATTCTTTGAAAATCTTCTTCTCTGCTCCTGGATATTAAATAAACTAACTAAGAACATAGTTATGATGAGCATGGCTGCCTTTTGAGAAATTGTGAATTTTATGGCTCCTGGGTGAGGGATTCAGGTGTTAGGGTGGGGATGTATTGATTATGTAGTAAAATTGCATTAATTCTTTGAAAATCTTCTTCTATGCTCCTGGATAAAATTGAGACAAAAATAACTTATCTTTTTAAATGGATCAGGTAGACTTGGAAATAATAAATGAATAAAATTGAGACAAAAATAACTTATCTTTTTAAATGTTCTTGAAAGGCCAAGAGAGGCCAATGTGAGAAGTTATAATATGGGGTTATATAATAGACATTTTGTTAAGTAGTCTGCATGGTAATAGTGATAAATGGGGACAGATAGATACTAGACCAATTATTTTGATGCTAATCATACTATATTTCTTGCTTTTGGGCAACAAAGCTTCATTTATCAGTTTATGGATCCTCTGTATTGTTGTATTGTACTCAGGTGACCGTTAAGGCCCTTGGGCCTCTTGTTTATGTTTCATTTCATTCGTTGATGTTGAATATTCTAATTTGGACGTTCTCTGAAGTTGCTGTAGACTTCTGTGCTGTATTTCAAAAGCCTTCATTCCTCTGCTTACTTTAGCTTAAATGTTTAGATCAGTTCCTCTGTTTTGTTTGTGATACTACCAAGATAAGAAAATTAATTGACCTCTTCTATATCATCTTCTTTGAATGTTACAATTCCTCCATTCTTGGTCATGACTCTCATTAACTTCATTTTCGTGGTATTGATCTGAAGTCTCGTGCTTTCTTTGTTTCATCTGGGTTTTTTTCTCTCTCATGTCTATTTGAATGTGATAGAAATAGAAGTCTACTAGGGGTGATCAAAAAGTTCGCGAACTAATTGAATTACTTCCTTAAAAGAAATAAAATGAGGTTTCAGTGCTCATTATTCTTTAAATTAGTCCTCTCCTATTATAATGCACATCTGCCATTGTTCTGCCCATGCGCGAATCACGTGATTCAGACGGTCAGTGACATGCTCCGTGGCGTTTTGTTCACAGAAGCTAAAAGATTTTTCCGAGTCATATTTCTTAACATGCAAGTTATTTTTTATAACAAGAACAGTCCATCTGTCAGAAATGGCCAATAGGGTGGGTGGAAAAGGACATCCCTTCCCAGAATTAGCATGGTGATCATCAAAACCCGAGTCCTCTGTCTCGGAAGCGTCGTTTATCCAATGTGGATAAAGTATGGACGACCTCTTTTTATCATATCTCGTATGTTTAAAGTCTAAAGTAAACATATTTTAGGGATTTAATAGTTATATTATTGTTCAGATATTCAACTTTTTTCTAATTGTAACTTGGCGATCTTTCATAACAAATTGCTGAACTAAGGACACATCTTTTCCCCGGCTTGCTTTCGCTGGGCAACAGAACAAACATCATTTTTTACCATCTCCCTGCCTTCACTAAAACAATCAATCCAATTAATGATTAAATTACTGGTAAGTCTTTTGTCTTCATAAACCCTGTACAAATTATCATATTCTACTGCAAAGGAATTTCTAAGAAATACGTTAAACTTTACAGCCGTTCGTTGCTCGAGTACGACTGAGTCAGCCATTTTTTGTCACCTACATATTGACGCCATTTTCACATTGTGACGTCACAAACACGGAGCAAAACATTATATAACACCTGCTATTTATAGAATATGTGTATGACTATATTTGTGCCAAATTTCATTCTGATCTGAATTGTGGTTTTGTAAATATAGAGATAGTTCGCGAACTTTCTGATCACCCTATTTTCTCTAACTGAATGGGGGCTGAATTTCCTCTTGCACTTTTGTAAAGGGTTGTCTTGTTACTCAGGCGACAACTACATGTATTAGGAACAGTGTTGGTGGTAGGAGACAACCTTGATTAACTTAAATGATTCCATCGAGAAGTGGTGTAAATCAGATGTGGATACTTAAAAACTCCAAAGAACATTTGGAAAATTTGAAATCACAAAATTTTACTAAAATCGATAGCATCAAAACGTACGACTTTTCAACACTTTATACAACCATTCCCCACGATAAATTGAAGTCCAGGCCTTTTTGACATCATAGACAGCTGCTTTTTCAATAAAAATGGAACTCGTAAATATACTTGCCTTGTCATTGGTCATCTACAAAATTATTTTGTTAAAAAGCACTCTGATTGTACACACAAGTACTTTGAAGTTGATATTAAAAAGATGCTTGAGTTTCTGACTGACAATATCTATGTAGTTTTTGGAGATCAGGTCTTCCAACAATCTGTTGGAATTCCCATGGGTACCAATTGCGCCCCCTTATTAGCAGACCTATTTTTGTATTAATATGAAGCAGAATTTATTCAAAAACTTCTACATGAGAAGAAAACACTTGCTGTGGCCTTCATCTCGACATTTCGATATATCGACGACGTATTATCAATCAACAATAGTTACTTTCATTCATATGTCGACTCGATATATCCTAGTGAGCTTGATATAAAAGATACCCCAGATTCTGACACATTTGTTTCATATTTAGATATTTTACTAGAAAAAGACGTTAATGGTAACCTAACAACAAAGCTTTATGATAAACGTGATGACTTCAACTTTTCAATCGTCAACTTCCCTTAATTATGTAGCAATATACCCTTATCACCTGCATATGGGGTTTATGTCTCTCAGTTGATTCAAGACGCAAGAGCATGCTCTACGTATGAACAATTTCTAAAACAATGCAAGCTATTGACAAACAAGTTGACGAAACAAGGATATCAACAGTCTCGTTTGAAGTCATCTTTTCGCAAGTTTTTCGGTCGATACAATGACTTTGTCAGCACATACAACCTGTCATTGAGTCATATGCTGACTGACGTTTTTCGTACTGATTGTTAGGCCATTATTTATACACCGTACTGTCTACGGATATTTCCGGTTTTTGTTTCCCGATCATGACAAGGAGCACATGGCGGGTGTGACCGATCGGCAAGGAATGCTCACTCCTCCATGGCACCTGATTCCACCTCTAAATTTTGAGGTCCGTGTTTGCTCTGCTCCAAATTCGTATCGTTTCATTGGACTTTCGAGATTGAATACTGTTCTTTATCTTCATATTTCATTAGAGCTCTTTTATGAATTAATTTTACTTTTGACTTCGTACAATGTCTATCATGTTGTCGATCTTAACTGGGATTCCATAATCTCTTTGTGGTTTTATAAAACTTTCTCTATTGCTGATACCAAACTTTTTTTTTCAAAATCGTTGAAGTTGATGTAACGTAATTATAATTATTACCACTGTACATACTGTTCTTAAAGAATTCGTAGTGCAGCTGTCTGGTATATGCAAATTCTGATCGATTTAAAACTGGTTCTCTTAATACTTTGTTTGTTGCCTCTTAAATTCTACACAAAGCAATATGACGCCTCTCCATCCGTTCCAGAGATTAAGATCTCCCTTTTTTGGTGTATGTACTTTGACCTTCAGTCCCTTCTTTCTCTAATTAGGGATTCCCTCTGCTTCTCATACTTTGTTCAACAGTCTATACCCTCCTTTTTTGTCATCTAGTCCTCAATCCCTTAGTATTTCGTCAATTCGTGCTGTTTTTCCGTATTAAAAAGATTTAACATTAGTACCTATTGTAACTTCCTTCTCGCTTCTTCCATATATTTTTGTATTCAGGTCTTAATTTCCCAAGGCAAGTTGTTATTTGGTCCTCTAGAGTTTGGTCTATTAAGTTTTTTACCAGATTGGCTGCACCAGATCTCCTCTTTCTCAGAGGTTTGTGATTTATTTGTTTTCAAATCTCCTCTATGGGCTACCAGCTCAGTTTCAAAGCATACTCATTTAAAAAGTCTGTTTTTCTTGCATGCAGTTATGATAGACCTCTTTGTATAGCTCCTGATATTTAGTTTGGAGCTTATTTCTTTACAATCTTGTTTCGGCATCCATGAATTGCCCTTCTTCCCATAGCTTCCTGTCATTTTTAGTGACATCTTTTTTTTTCATTTTATTTAATATCTTTTTTTGCTAGGATTTGTTCTCCTGAATATGTTTTTGAAAATGTCTTTGTCTGTATCCCATCCGTTTGACGAGGTCTACTGTGGTATATAGATATGAATTGGATTATTTAGTTGTATTTGGAATTTTTCATCGATTCGTGTCTTTCAGTTGTTCAAAATTATACTCAGTGCGCTAATGACTCCTCTTTCTGAGTTTGCTAGTCTGATTTTCATTTTCTCAAGTAATAGATGGTGGTCTGAATTTACATTTGCTTCTCGTTTTACTCTCACATAATTAAGGTCCGAGCTTTTATCATGCTGGTCTCCACAAGTAAAATATTTGGGTTAAATTTTGCTGTAAGCAGCTACACTATCACATTATTTTATACATGATACATCATATTTACCTAAATGCATTTATACTTATGCATGCTGACAAAGTGAAAATATGCAGCCCGAAAACGCGGAAAAAGCATGCCCTCTTCATGGTTCTCATTACATATTAAGAAGAGATTTAAAGAGAGGCACAATTTTAAATAATGTTTTTCAGCAATGGTAATGTCACAAACAGCTCACATATACATTGACTTACTCTGCTTTATATTTATTTACATGTATTTACTTTTTTATTTTAGAAAACTTGTACATTTTTAAACCACGGGGCATTTGGAGCGGTTCTTAAAGAGACTCTGGATTACGCACAGGTACACGGAGAGTTTAGAATTACTGGTACATTGTTATAGTATTTTGGGAAACTAGCAAGACTCAACATTAACTTATATCCACTTCAGTGTCCATCGGACAAGTTATCAACAAATGTAACTTGTCCGCGGCCGAATGCAATTTTTACTTGTCCGACTAGGGACAAGAAAGAGTAAAAATTGTTTAACTTTATTACATGTATTTACCAATTTTTCCAATGTGCAATCAATGTATTCTCTAAATTTATATCTGTAAAAAAAAAAAAAAAAAAAAAAAAAAAAAAAAAAAGAATTACATGTACGATTAGTCGGCGCATTTTTATAACCAATATTTTTTTGTTACAATACATTGCGCAGGCGTGGATTGAAGCTGAGCTTCCCAATGGTCCACATGTTCTCGTTCTATCCTAGCAATTTCCTCGGTATTCACTTTCCCGATATGATCTCTTTTGAATTTTTTTGTCATTGCCAGAATGACCTTTTTTTAGTAGAGTTGTAAACCCAAACTTTGTCAGGTTCATGCTTTGAATGTGGGACATAACCTGAGAGACGATTTTCGGTAGGTTCCATTGACATGCATTCAGTCGTTTGTTTATGGAAATAGACGAGTCCGAACACAGAATGAACTTGACACGGACAATCGAACAAACGTTAATGTTGAGTCCTGACTAGGAATGGCGTTTGCTTATTCTGCCCCGAAAAAGACTCGATCAAATCGTGTATTTTTCTCGATTTCTTTTGATTTTAAGACAAACTGTTTCCAAATCAGTCAAGATTTTGTTCCAGAAATGGCAAAGATATACAGAAAAACAGCCGTTAAGGTTTTTTGATCGGGAGCTCTTGCCTCATCTGGTTTACGTTACAAGGCGACTGGCGAAGTTTGTTGGTATGTACTCTAATTCATGGTAAGTAGATTAATAAAAAATCTCAATGATCTCGTTTTATTAAAATGAAACACGTGACAGAACTGCATCAGCCTAACATATGTCTGAACGGGTACCTGATTACAAGTACTTTTACTTTATTGTTCCTGCTTACAGTATTACAATTATATTTATTTGGTATACAAATGAGGACATTTGCTGATAAAAACACCGGTGAGAATGAAAGGTTATCGCTAGTAAGATACACTTTAACATTGCCAGTTACTCACTGACAGGTAGATGATTAAATTTGGCTCTTTTTGATTTAAAGTACATTTTAATTCTCCTGAGTTGAAATTCCAAATGAAATAATTTTGATAGTGTTAAGAACTACAATTGTTCGTTGCCAGTCAAATTATCACATTTTCGGTTTTTTTTTTAGATTCATTAGTGTAAATTTGATCAAACTTGCACAAATGCTTCTAAGTAAAAGAGTTTCTACTTTGTTTAAATGAGTGATCACATCCTTCGATTCTTACTTAGAAGTTAAATATAATTTAGAAACGCAAAAATTGGCTAAATCAGATGTTCTTTGGAATGAAGGCGAGAGATTTGGGGGGGGGGGGGGGGGGAATTGCAGATTATGAGAAATGGAACCCAACGTCCAGTCTCTCACTTCTGCATCATAAAAAAATCAATGTCATCATACAAAAAATAATTAAATAGATAACAATTTAACAAAACGTTTATCTGTAATTTTTTTAATCTTAAAAGTAAAAACAAAAGTATTGATTAACCAGAAAAGTACATAAGTATTGAAAATGCAGGAATCGAACTCCAAATAGTATGGAGATGAGTATCACGACATCATTTCAACCAATTTTTGAAAGCAGCAAATATTTAGACAGCAAATACACCTATTGCAAGTTCTTGGACCTTTCTGATAAGCGGATAACAATCGCAATTTCTCGGGCCTTTGCGCATTTCCGACAAGGGGAAAAACAACCTCAAATGTGTTGTGAGGGCATCCCTACACCCCCCCCCCTTTCATAACCATTGAGATGAATGAAGGGGGGGGGGGCATCTTATCTGGAGAGTCTGGCCCCAAACTTCAAAACATTACCTAAATTATACTACAAAAGGGACACTCAACCCTCTCTATCCAACCCTTAATTAAGTAGGAAGTGTCTCCATTTTGCATAAAATTTTAAAATCGAGGTGTTTTTCCGAGCTTGCCAGAAAGGGCCGAGAACATGCGATTGTTTTTTTTTTTTTTTTTTTTTTTTGTATGTTGTTTAACGTCTCTCTCGAGAATTTTTCACTCATATGGAGACGCCACCACTTGCCGGTGGAGAGCTGCAAATTTTTTCCTATACTCGGCACTTACGGCCATTGGGATTTTTTTTCGTGCCAGCACCTTCTGCGACACGGGACCTCGGTCTATACGGTCTCATCCGAAGGACCGGTCTCCACGTCCCACAGTGGGATTCGAACCTGCGACGTAAGGATCAACTCCTTACTTCGCGACTCTAGAGCAGACGCTCTAACCACTGCGCCACGCGGGAAGATGCGATTGCAAATACACTTAAATAACATAAACATTATTTAGAAGGATGCAGATTTAGTAATTGTTGGGAAACCTAGCTCTAAAGTACAAGTAATCGAAATTTTTAATTTTTGCTCTCACCCTTCTTATTATATTTCATTAATTGGTTCCGGTCAGTACAGAACATATCAAATGATTTTGCACATAGAGGGTTCATGCTTCATGTAAGAAGTCACAAAAATCGGAAGAAATGGGTTTGCGGGTGGGAGCTACATTTGTTTAAAAAAGTCAACTGCATTTGTCAAAGAAAGAGCTTCTGGTAAGGTCAGTGGCATTTGTCCAGGACAGTGCTTCTGGTGAAGTCAGCCGCATTGAGCGGCAGTTGTCAAACATAGTGCCTCTAGTGAAGTCAGTGGCATTGGATGACATTTGTCCAAGACAGTGCTTCTGGTGAAAACAACGGCATTTGTCCAACGTAGTGCTTCTGGTGAAGTCAGCTGGAGTAGTCCATTACAGTGCTTCTGGTAAAGTCAGCGGCATTTAGCAGCATTTGTCCATCACAGTGCTTCTAGTAAAGTCAGCGGCATTTGTCCATCACAGTGCTTCTAGTAAAGTCAGCGGCATTTGTCCGAGACAGAGCTTCTGGTGAAGTCAGCTGCATTTGTCCATCACAGTGGTTCTGGTAAAGTCAGTGGCATTGAACAGTATTTGTTCAACACAGTGTCCAACACAGTCCTTCTGTTAAAGTTAGTTGAATTGTTTAAGTAACTGATGAGAAAAAAAAATCTAATCTCATAGTGTTCTTTTACTCCACTTTTGTAAGATTGCTATCCATTTTCGTCCGTCGGCATGCGTCGTGCGTTAACATATGAACATTTTCAGCTTCTTCTCTGAAACCGCTCAACCAATTTCAACCAATTTTGGCATATAGCAGCTATGGGTGAAGGGGAACAAAAATTGTGAATTTCACAATGGGGCCTAAGGGGTGGGGCAAAAACCACTAAAATTAATGCAATCTTTAAAAATCTTCTTCTTTACTCATTGAACATCAAGCAGTCAAACTGTTGGCATAATTGTAATAAGCATTAAGCCCTCTACCAAAATTGTGAATTTCATGGCCCCTGGGTCTAGGGTTCTGGTGCTAGGATGGGGCTATATAGATCATATAGTAAAGTGTATTATTTCTTTGAAAATCTTCTGCTCTGCTCCTGGGTATTAAATATACTAACAAAGTACATAGTTATGATGAGAAAGAGTGCTTCTTTCAAAATTGTGAAATTTCATGGCCCCAGGGTGAGGGATTCTGGTGTTAGGTCGGGCTCTATTGATTATATAGTGAAAATGCATTAATTCTTTGAAAATCTTCTTCTCTGCTCCTGGGTATTAAATAAACTAACCAAGTACATAGTTATAATGAGCAAGAGTGCCTCTTCCAAAATTGTGAATTTCATGGCCCCAGGGTCAGGGATTCTGGTGTTAGGGCGGGGCTCTATTGATTACATAGTGAAAATGCATTAATTCTTTGCAAATCTTCTTCTCTGCTCCTGGGTATTAAATAAAGTAACTAAGTACATAGTTATGGTGAGCAAGAGTGCCTCTTCCAAAATTGTGAATTTCATGGCCCCAGGGTCAGGGATTCTGTTGTTAGGGCGGGGCTCTATTGATTATATAGTGAAAATACATTAATTCATTGAAAATCTTCTCTGCTTCTGTCTATTAAATAAACTAAGAACATAGTTATGGTGAGCATGGCTGCCTTTTCAGAAATTGTGAATTTCATGGCCCCAGGGTCAGGCGTTCTGGTGTTAGGACGGGGCTCTATTAATTCTATAGTAAAATTGCATGAATTCTTTGAAAATCTTCTTCTCTGCTACTGGGTATAAAATAAACTAACTTGGTGCATGATTATGATGAGCATGGTTGCCTCTTCCAAAATTATGAATTTCATAGCCCCTGGATCAGGGGTTCTGGTGTTAGGGCGGGGCTCTATTGATTATATAAGGAAAATGCATAAATTCTTTCAAAATCTTCTTCTCTGCTCCTGGGTATTTTTCAAACAAAGGATATGGTTATGATATGGAAGAATGCCTCTTCCAAAATCGTGAAATTCATGGCCCCTGGGTCAGGGGTTCTGGTGAACGGGGGGGGGGGGGGACTCTATTGATTTTATAGTGAAAATGCATTATTTCTTTCAAAATTTTTTTTTCTACTACTGGTTATAAAGCAAAGGAACAAGTGTATAGTTATGATGAACAAGGCTGCTTCTTCCAGAATTGTGAGTTCATGGCCAATAGATCAGATGTTCTGGTGTAAGGATGGGGCTTTATTTATTTAATAATATAGTGAAAATGCATTTCTTTGAAAATCTTCTATGCTTCTGGGCATATTCGAGGCAAACAGAGTAAAAGTTTTAATATGCAAGGGTATTTTTACCAGAATTTTGAACACCTGGACCATTTAGTCAAGTGTTCTGGTTCTGGCCAGGGCTCTATTAACTTGTATTCTGCTGAGCAAAGTTATTCCCCTTTGCCATTCACCTTTGATAAGTAATCACTGTAAATAATGTATCTGAAAGGTTACTATAATAAGAGAATTATGCAAGAATATTTATTGTATAATACAAAAAGTACTTTCATAGTTTTAATGATCAGGTACACTTGGAAATAATAGATGAATAAAAATGAGACAAAAATAACTTATCATTTTAAATGTTCTTCAAAGGCCAGTAGAGGCCAATGTGAGAAGCAATAATATGGGGTTAAAAAAATAGATATTTTGTTAATAGTTTGCATGGTAATAGTGATAAATGAGGGACAGATAGATACTAGACCAATTATGTTGTTGGTGCTAATCATACTATTTTTCTTGCTTTTGGGCAACAAAGCTTCATTCATCAGTTTATGGATCCTCTGGATTGTTGTATTGTACTCAGGTGACCGTTAAGGCCCTTGGGCCTCTTGTTACAGTAAAAATTCTATCACCTTAATATTTTTCACATTTTTCAAAAGGAGATAACTCTAATACTTAACACTGAATTTTATTTAAAGGATTCTGTAGTACAGTACATGCAATTGATTTAGTTCATGTTGTTTTTTGTTATCCTTTAAACTCTTTTTATAAGCATAATTTTTATAAGTATAATTTGTACCGAAAGGAGCAGACATCCTTCCGTTATCAATGAAATACCTAAGATAAAAGATTTTAATGAATATAGAACATCTTAAACCAGGATTATTGTTAACAATATTAAAATACCGCTCATTCCGTATAAGTTAACCATAGATGCAAAATGCCACTCAGTCTGAAATATATAACCAGATAAGGAATGCTCGTTATTCTATTCAAATTAAACAAAAGAAGCATGCTGCTTATTCTGCACAGATAACCAAATAAACAATGCTGCTTATTGCATATAAGTTAACTTAATGAGGAATGCGGCTCATTCGATGTAAATTAACCACATGAAGTATGACGCTTATTCCTTATAAGACACCACATGAGGAATGCCGCTCATTCTGTCTATCATGTTAACAACATGAAGAATGCTACTTATTCCATATAAGTTAACCACATTCCGTATAAGTAAATTGTACGAGGAATTCTACTTATTTGTATAAGGTCATTAGATGTAGAATGCTGCTAATTCCGAATAAGGTCACTAAATGAAAAATAACACTTATTCCGTATAAGTTTACCATACGAAAAATGCCGCTTATTTTGTGTATGGTCACTACATGAAGACTAACACTTATTCCGTATAAGTAAACTACATTGTACATGTACATAAAGAATGTTGCTTATTTCCTTATAAGTTAACTTTATAAAGAAGGCTGCACATTCCGTATAAATAAACTACATAAAGAATGCTGCTTTATCTATACAAGTTACATGTAACCACATGCAGAATGTTCATTCTGTATGTTTCCACATGAAGAATACTGTTCATTACCTATAAGTTAACTAAATGAAGAATGCCGTTCTTTCCATGTAAATTAACCACATGAAAATGCCGCTGATTCCGTATAAGTATACTACCTAAAGAATGTGGCTTGTTCCATATACGTAAACTACACAAAGAATGATACTTATTCCGTATAAGTAAACCACATAAAGGATGACACTTATTCCTGATAAGTTAACCACATAAAGAATGCCGCTTATTATAAACTTTAAAAAGCTTACTGGCCAGTGCTCTGATTTTAAATATTCTGCTTATCTGTCAGTCTACAGCATTATCAATATAAAAAAAATAATGATGATATCTAATACAATATGTTTTACTATTTGAACTGAACGTCATACTGCATGTTTACAATATGTGTATATTGTCTACTAGATCTTTATAAATATTTCTTCTCAGAGAATTTTGGACAAATGTCACCAAATGCTGCTAATTTCATTTAACAAAACATGCAGAGATTACGTTTCAAGGAACACTTTTGGGCAAATGCTGCTCAATGCCGCTGACTTTACCAGAAGCACTTTTTTGTACAAATGCCTCTGACTTCACCATAAACACTAGCTGTGATGAACAAATGCCGCTGACTAGACCAGAAGCACTGTATTGTACAAATGCTTCTGCTTTCACTACAAGTCCTGTGCTGGAAAAATGCCGCTCAATGATGCTTACTATACCTGAAGTACTGTGTTGGGCAAATGTCGCTCAATGCCGGTGACTTATTAGAAGCACTGTTTTGGACAAAAGTCTCTCATTTGTGCTAACTTCACCAGAAGCACTGTGTTGGACAAATGCCGCTCCATGCCACTGACTTCACCAGAAGCACTATTTACGACAAATGCCGCTCAATGCCACTAACTTCACCAGAAGCACTGTTTTAGACAAATGCTGCTCAATGCCGCTGACTTAAGCAAAGCACTGTTTTAGACAAATGCCGCTAAATGCCACTGACTTCACCAGAAGCACTGTTTTAGACAAATGCCGCTCAATGCCACTGACTTCACAGAAGCACTGTTTTAGACAAATGCTGCTCAATGCCGCTGACTTAAGCAGAAGCACTGTTTTGGTCAAATGCCCTTTAATGCTTCTGACTTAATAAATTTTTTGACAAATGCACTGATATGTAGAAAAAGTTTTTTTTTAAGTCATCAAACCCAGGATTTTCTAGAAGGGCTATTATGTACAGTGTAATTTTTAGTACTGGTATTTAGCTAGATACAGTAATCTTTTGTGACTTCTTACAAGAAGGAATAGCCCACATAGAGAAGCAAATTCAACAGGTTTGGTACATATCAAATGGATTATTATAATTTGACCAATTTTATTATTGTTAACTTGCTGTATGCATTTAGTTTATAACAACGGGTTGGGTTTTTTTTTTATTTCAGGTTGTGAGCCTAAAGATCTTTTGCTGATTAATAATGCCACCACAGCCATAAATACGGTTGTTTACAATATTCCAATAGAAAGGGGAGACACGATATACTGTCTTAATACAACTTATGGTGAGAACTATGTGTATATTTTGAATATATTCTCCGTTGTGTTCACAATTTATTCTTTTTATTATTTTTTTAAGTTATAAAATTATATAAAAATAAAAAATTTGGGATTCTAGCATTTACGTGCTTAACTTTGTATCCAACATATCATCGTCTTTCTGATTTTCTATAACATTTCTGTCGTATCATTAAACTTAAATTGTAATCTAAACTTTTATACTAGGTAGTAAATTAATTCTTTTATGTCATGTACCCAGCTTTATATAATGCCCTCTTCAAAAAAGAAATCCTGACGGCATTCTAACGAATCCTCAAAATTCTCAGCGTAATGTAAATATTCGCAGTATTCAGTAGCATTCTCAAATTGAACCTTTCCTTGATTATTAACTTCCGCAAATTCATCTTCCCTATTAAAAATTTTAGGTGCCGTTAAAAAATTGTTGACTTGGACATGCCAACAAAAAGGTGCAATTCTTCAACAGGAAACTCTCAGCTTTCCTTTGACTGGATCCAATCAGGTGAAAGAAGAGACACTTCTGGGAATTGTTTAATTAAAAAAAATAATAATGAAAAATTTCAATTTGTTTTTAAAGTCAAGGTTTGTTCGTATGTGACTAATGAAAATTCTTCATTTTCTATTTTATAGGTAGTCGAGCTTGTGAGAAAAACTTTAAAACGCGGTACAAAGCTGGCAGTGTTTGATCACATCCCAAGTAACACCCCTTTTATACTTCCTGTGGAGGAACTGACTAAAATTTGTCAACAACGGTATTTTTCAATATCTGTTTAAAATGACTTTATTACTGTTACATCTGGTTCAGAGCTTTACGGGTACTTGAAGTAGACAGAGGAAATCAGAATTGATTAGTTGTCAGATCAGATTCTCTTCATACACTACTCTGCATATGAGCTATGCTAGTATGTGTGTATTTAGCAATAGACGTAACCAAAGTTTTACTCGGGGCACTGTGAAACTAAAGCACTATGATGATGAATTATAATACAGCTTTAACATTCTTTGTCTCTCGTGTAATGTTAGAGCATGAATTCAGGAGAGCTTTTTTTTCATGTACGATTTTTTAACGTTGTAATATGCCACGTATACTATTGTAAAGTTTCTTCTGTCTAACATAGCTAGTCAAGGATAGTGTAACATTTTGAAAGGAGGTGCCTTTTGAACTATTAGGCTATTAACTCATGGTATAGTAGCTTTGAGTTCAACCACACCTTACCGAATAGAGTAAATGGACGTCAAACGGATAGCAAAATTTTCGATGTCCGGTGTAGTTATACGACGGAAAATTCTGACCAAGTTCAAAACTTGGAACGGACATTCGAAAACCGTTTTGTTAGTTTCTCATGTGTTGAGCATTCGTTTTACACGGTATGTCACTGCTTTTTACGATAGTGTATAATTGTTCGGTTTTTGTCCGTTTTATGCTACATACATGTACGTTGATTGCAAGTGTCCAGATAAGCGAAGGATAACTTACGTCAGTGTTTTTAATACCAAAAAACTGCGTTCTGGCACCGTTTCCCCCCATCTGTTTAACGTTAGCGCTATTTTGCAAGGTGTGACGGAACCCTTAATTTGCTAATCTTGTTCATTTTTATATTTTCATTATTTAGAAGCAAAATCAAGGATGGTTGATCATGCTTCACAAATGAATAATTTAGACTCATCGTGTTATTTCAGCGTTATCATATAAATCGATGGCAATTTATCAATTTAGTGACATCGACTATTGTATCAGAGCAGTTTTCTACCGTTATCATTAATTTCCATTCTTCTAACTTATGCTCAAGATTCAGGTGTTTTGAAATGTCAACATCCCCAAAATGTTCGGAGTTTTAATATCATAAAATCAAATTGAACAGTAAATCTTAATGAAACATACCTGTTGTGTGTAATTGAAAATTTTTAAAAAATTAATGTTGACATCACGATTTTCTGCTGAGTTCGTCTACATGTAGTTGTAAATGAGCTACACTGTATACTACTGATATAGACTTCTCCTGGAACAAGTGTCTCTGAATCAAGTGTTTAAAAATAGGTCTAAAGTAGTCAGTATGAATCTTAATTGAAGAGAGATGCATTGACAAGAAAAAGATATTTAAAAAAAAACAGGCAGTTTTTAGCTCACCTGATTTGAAAGCTAAAGTGAGCTTTTCTGATCACATTTTGTCCAGCGTCCGTCAGTCCGCCCGTCTGTAAACTTTACACATTTTCGAGTTTTTCTCCAGAACCATTTGGCTAATTTCAACCAAACTTGCCACAAAACATCCTTGGGTAAAGGGAATTCACTTTTTTTTCAAATAAAGGGCCACGCCCTCTTTCAAGGGGAGATAATTCAGAATTCGTGAAATTTTGATGGCATTTTTTTTTTAATTGTGTAGATTTATTTTTGTTCAAAACATGGGTAGGTTTTACATAAAAATATATAGGAAAATTCTTTAATAAGCTTCTTTTAAAGAACAGCAAAGCCATGATGTCATATTGATATGGAAGCATCCGCAGGAAATGTAGATTCAAATTTGTTCAAATCATGACTCCAGGGGATAGAATGGGGCCACAATGGGCGATCAAAGTTCTAAATAGGAATATATAGGGGAAAAAATCTTAAAATTCTTCTTATCCAGAAGATTAGTGCTGCTGGTATTAAAGCATCCTCAGGTATTATATATTCAAGTTTGTTCAAACCTGACCCCTGGAGGTTAGAGTGGGGCCACAATAGCCTATCAGTTTTACACTGGGATATATAGGGAAAAATCTTTTAAAATCTTCTCAAGAATTTCATAGCCATGTTAAGTTATATTGATAAAAAAGTATGTTCAGGTAATGTAAACTCAAATTTATACAAATCATGATTCTCAGGGATAGGATTTGGCCACATTTTAAAAAATCTTCTCAAGAACAGCAAAGCCATGATTAGTCATATGAGTTATGAAGGCATCCTCAGATATTGTAGATTCAAGTGTGTTCAAATCATGACAGCTGGGGGTAGGATGGTGTCGCAACAAAGAATCAAATTTTTACATAGAAATATATAAATAAATGGGAAAAAATCTGCTGATGAAGTACAACAGGATCATATTGATTCAGGTGAGCGTGATGGCCCATGAGCCTCTTGTTTTGATTATTTTTATTCATTTTCAGATACTTCATTACTTTAATCATGTCCTTTATTATGTACAACGACTAACATACAAAAACGCAATCTGATTCCGGATAATGATGTCTTTGTTTAAATTAAAAGTAATGTTCCAATCCTTATTGATGGGGCACATGCACTGGGATCTCTAGATCTTCAATTAAGAAGCTTCTGTCCAGACTATTACGTTAGCAACTGCCATAAATGGTTCTGTTGTCCCAAAGGGAGTGCCTTTTTGTACGTCAAGGAAGAACGACAACAACATACCAGACCGCTGGTTATTTCCCATGGATTTGGATCGGGCTTCAACTCAGAATTCATTTGGACAGGTACAATTAAACCACGGAAGAATTTTGCAGAATTGATAAAGTGTGTTATGGGCTTCTGATTGTTAACCAAGAGGCAATAGTTTTTTTACCTCTATCTCAAACAGCGACTTCAGCTCCATTCCATCCGTCATTCCGACACGCTAATTAATAAAGGCGGGGAGTGGGGAACTTTTTACGTGTAATATGTATATCAAACAGTTTTAAACCCACATACACAGTGATTGTACACATTAGAGATATGCACCTTCTATTTTTGTCCCCAGCTGTCGTTAAGAGCGGGGATATTGATTTGGATTTGTCTGTCTCCGTCCATCCATCTGTCTATCTGTAACAATTTTGTTTCCGGGTGATATATCTAAAAGTCAATGAAAAATTTTAGTTTCCTTACTTAGGTTGGAGCCCTATTGATTTTGAGGTCAAAAAGTCCAATATCAAAGTCAGAAATTCATGTATTGCATAAAATAGTTTTCCAGATGATAACTTTAGTTATCTGTGGGCTTTTGAAATAAATTAAGATAAATGAAGATAAAGTTAATAACTCTCTCTAGCCTTAGAATACCCCAATTGATTTTGAGGCTAAAAAATGAAAAGTCAAGGTAACAAATTCATATATGGTATGCAGTGCTTTCCAAATTCACTCCAGTATTTAATATCTTAAACATAAATGTATTTTAAGCGGGTGGGGGGGGGGGTGGGGGGGGAGGGGGGCATAAATTCCCTGTATTAGTTCTTAAAGTATAATTCTACTTTTTAAAAACTGCACTTGTTATATTTTTTTTAAACAAGTGTCGTAACAACCAAATGTTTCTTATCATGCACGACTGCAGAAAAATCCATGACTCTTGGTATGGATAGTACATACATGTAATTTGTGTAATCACTTTCCTTGGAAAATTATGTGTTAATTAACATTGAAATTTACACAGTGATTTTACATACATTGAAATGTGTCAAATGTGACCCTCTGTTTTGGAAAATTACAAGAGATGAACTTGGGTTTTTGTCATTGCAATCGATATGGAGAGTTAATGTAATCTGTCCCTTTGTCTCCATTCATTTGTAAACAACCATTAAAGAAGTACAAATATGTACCCTAATTTAAATTAAATTAGAAAAGGAGAATGCAGATTTTCAGCTCTATTGTTCAAAACCAGTATATTTCGACGATGTTGCCATGGTTACTAATTTTTAATGTGTCCTTTCAAAACTCTATTTCTAAATTTTAATCTGATGTCCAGAAAACTTGAAACACAAATTCAGGACACAAAGATACTTTGAGTAGAAGTCATGGGTCAAAAATATTGACATCAATATTGACATGACTAAACGCTTATTTATTGATGCTGTTCAGAAAAATGTCATTTTTAACTGGAAAGAAAGTTTTCAGGTGAACAGTGGGGGTTAAGAAAAATGCTTAAATAGGTAATAAGCTCATTTATTCAACGGTCAAGGTGAAAATGGCTTATTTTCACATTTTTTTGTCATTTAATATTTGAAAACATGTATATTTCGACATGTAATTTTCATGTTCGGTAAACACTTTAAAGAGAGTCTGATGCCTTTAGCTTCTGTAGCCACTTGTTCAAGATCGTAACTCAAGATTATTGATATTTATAAGCATACTGCGGGGCCCAGTGTGACTTTATCCGTTTTTAGTTTCAATTTGCTTATGATTTTTCTGACATTATGCATGATAAGCAACATTTGGTATGGTAGCATATTTCTGCCCCCTACATGCAAGATAAAATATGTCAAAATGCGTGAAAAATATGTCAACATGCAGGAAAATTATGTCTACATACAAGAAAATTATGTTAACATGCAAGATAGCAATCTATGGTGGCATATTTCTGCCCCCTACATGCAAGATTAATTATGTTAACATGCAACATAATTATGTAGACCTGCGGCATAGTTAAATCAACATGCAAGATAATTATGTTGACATGGAAGTTACGGATCATTTTTGAGAATCTTATTTTAATATTGGTAAACTTACTAACGCCATTATATGACATCATGCAAGAAAGATACAACAGGATTATGCTGACATGGGAGATAAGTATGTAGACATGCATTTTTTATGTTAACATGCAAGATTTATGTCAACATGAGAGTTAATTATGTCAACATGCGAGATACAGGTATGTATGTTAACATGCAACATATTATCTTGCATGTCAACATAAATATCTTGCACGTTAAAATATATTTCGCATGTTGACATAAGTCGCGCATAGATAAGTTGCATGTTGACACAAATAAGTGGCATTTTGACATAACTTGTATGTTAACATAGTTATCTTGCATGTTGACATAAATAAATTGCATGTCAATATAATTATGTTGCTGCTTGCTTGTATGATGTCGTATACTGGCGTTAGTAAGTTTACCAACATTAAAATTAGATTCTCAAAAAAAATTGGTAATTTGCGTGTCAACATAATTATTTTGCATGTTGACATAATTATGTTGCATGTTGATATACTTTTCTCACATTTTAACATAATTTATCTTGTATGTAGGGGGCAGAAATATGCCACCATACTTACTAACGCCATTATATGACATCATACAAGCAAGATGTAACAGAATTATGTTGACATGCGACTTATTTATGTTAACATGCAAGATAATTATGTAGACATCTGACTTCTTTATGAAGCAAGATAATTATGTAGACATGTGACTTATTTATGCAACTTATTTATGTCAACGTGCAAGATATGTTAACATGCGAGTTAATTATGTCAACATGCGAGATATGTATGTTACATTATGCAGCATACTAGTAATTCTGTTGCATCTTGCTTGTATGATGTCGAATACCGGCGTTAGTAGTAAGTGATAACTTGCATGTCAACATAATTATTATGCATGTAGACATCTTGCATGTTGTCATTTTTTTTCTGGCATGTTAACAAAATTTATCTTGCATGTAGGGGTAGAAATATGCGACCATAGTTATATGATCTGGATATTGAAATTAAATATCCCTGTAATGTATTATCACTTTGATTCCTTTGTTGTATGGTGAGCAATTCAAGGAAATGCTGCTTATTGCACTTCAGTTATATTATACAATTCATTAATTTTTTGTTGTGAGCTTGTGCCATTGTTTCAATTTTATGAAATTGCAATAAAAGTAAAATGTTATGCCATCATATTTTAACAATATCGTTTTTAGGTTTACATGACTATAGTCCCTATTTGGCTATTCATGTTATGATAAATTTCTGGGAGGAAGCTGGCAAAGGAAAGATTCTTAATTATATGCACCATCTTTGCAAAGAAGCATGTAAGTTAAATATGTATTAAAGAAGCAGATATTTCTGGAGTTATAAAAAATAGTTTCTGACATAAATTTTTAACTACATTTTTACTAAATCAGTTTCTAGATCGAAAAAAATTCTTTCTCCAGCTGATGTTTTAATGAAGAAATGGGGAACAAAGCTACCTATACCCGAAGAATTGTTAGGTATTGTAAAATTAAAAACAATTAACATTTTGAAATCTGATGAAAAATGTTGCTGCATTATTTATTTTTAATTATGTAGGTTGCATGTGCCTTGTGCAGCTTCCTCCAGCCATGTATGAAGAATTTCAAGACGTGGATTATTCTGTAGCTGAACAGATTCAGAACACTTTATATCATAAGTATAGTATTGAGGTAAAAAAAAATTGTTTCTATACGTACAATGAAATTGGTTGATTTAATATGTACAATCAATTTTTTAAAAAAAATACATTGATTTGAATAATTCTCCAAATAAGAGTAAAGCATGGGCTCTTCATGGGTAGATATAAACAATTCTGATGCTGTCATAATTTGGCAAGTTTTGATGATGTAATTTTAAAAAGACAATAATTGTCACTCTCTCTTGCATATACGTGAATAATCCTAAATCAAAGAAATATTATTTACCACTGAATGTGCATACCTTTTTATTAGAGTTAGAGGTACATGTAGATTTGTTGTTAATTTCAAAGTTTTGCTAGATTAAGACCAATAAAATACAAGTAAGTGATTCAACACCCAAGTATGTTTTACCCTTAATTAATTACCCTATACCATCTAATTATACAATGAATCCATATTATACGAAATAAAATAGGTCATTCCGGAATCATTTGATATTTTAACTATAAAAAAATCATGAATTTTTTTGCCTTAATATACAATGTAAAGGCATCCTGAGTAAATACTTACATTGTTTTATCCAAATATATAAATAGTATGATAAATTAAAGTCCAGGCTTTTTGATATCATTGACAGCTGCTTTTTCAATAAAAATGGAACTCGTAAATATACTTACCTTGTCATTGGTCATTTGCAAAATTATTTTGTTAAAAAACATTCTGATTGTACACACAAGTACTTTGAAGTTGACATTAAAATGATGCTTGAGTTTCTGATTGACAATATCTATGTGGTTTTTGGAGACCAGGTCTTCCAACAATCTATTGGAATTTCTATGGGTACCAAATGCGCCCCGTTATTAGCAGACCTTTTTTGTATTCATATGAAGCAGAATTTGTTCAAAAACTTGTACGTGAAAAGAAGAAATCACTTGCTGTGGCGTTCAACTCGACATTTAGATATATCGACGACGTATTGTCAATTAACAATGGCTATTTTCATTCTTATGTCGATACGATATATCCTGGTGAACTTGAGATAAAAGATGCCACAGAGTCCGACACATCTGTTTCATATTTGGATATTTTACTTGAAAAAGACGTTAATGGTAATCTAACAACCAAGCTTTATGATAAACGTGATGACTTTAACTTTTCAATCGTCAGCTTCCCTTACTTATGCAGCAATATACCTTCATCACCTGCATACGGGGTATATATCTCTCAGTTGATTCGATACGCAAGAGCATGCTCTACGTATGTACAATTTCTAAAACGAGGTAAATTATTGACAAATAAGTTGATGAAACAAGAATATCAGCTGTCTCAGTAAGAAAATGTAAATTTTTTACATGTGGGAATAGGTAGAATAGTTATCTTAAAAAATGGGAATAGGTGGAAAACCATTCATTCATTCATTCATTAAGCCTCTCCGGCTTGTCATCGCACGGGTGTAATTGATCGTTTTCTAAGTGTTAATTGCTGTTTAAACACCATGTCGTTACCCAGCCTGTCCTGTGTTTTTTTAACGATTTAAACTAAAGGATATGTGAGTACCCTGGACTGATTATAATATGTACCTTTAATACTTTTTCTATCGTATGCAGTTACCTATCAAATTATATTATTGAATAAACATCTGATTATGGTGACAATGCAGAATACACAGAACAGACATCTGGTCTGAAAATTTTTCAATGTATCTGATACTTCAGACATGTTTCAATTTTTTTTTGTATTGAAATAAAACAAATATACTGTTCGGATCAAATATAAACAGTCGCCCGCGTGGCGCAGTGGTTAGAGCGCCTGCTCTTGAGTCGCGGAGTAAGGAGTTGATCCTTAGAATCCCACTGTGGCACGTGGAGACCGGTCTTTCGGATGAGACCGTATAAACCGAGGTCCCGTGTCGCAGTAGGTGATGGCACGAAAAAGATCCCTCACTGCTCAATGGCCGTAAGTGCCGAGTATAGGTCAGAATTTGTAGCCCTCCACCGGCATTTGGTGGCGTCTCCATATGAGTGAAATATTCTCGAGAGGGACGTTAAACAATCAATCAACCAAACATAAACATAATGGTTTATAGCCTTCTTGTTTGTTTGGACAGAACCTACTGATGAAATATGTCAAGAATTTTTTATACGATTAATCGATCGGAACGTCTTGAGGTTAACCGATTGACAATTCTGTATTTAACTGCCACCCCTAGTTATAATTTGAGTACTCTACCAAAATTATGAACTTCATGGCCCAAAGGGTCAGGGGTTCTGGTGTGTGTGTGTGTTGGCCGGGGGGGGGGGGGGCTCTTTTGATCATATAGTGATTTTTTTTATTTATAAATAAATTTTCTCTGTTCCTGGGTATAAAACAAACAAACCAAGTCATAGTTATGATGATCAAGAGTTACCCTTCCATAATTATGAAATTTGTGACCCTGGGTCATGGGTCCTGCTGGAGGGGGTCTCTATTGATTATATAGTGAAATTGCATTAATTCTTGAAAATCTTCTTCTCTGCTCATGGATGGATTTTCAAGGATGCCTTTTCAAAAAGTTTGAAATTCATAACCCCAAGGTCAGGGGTTGTGTTGTCAGATTGGGCTCTTTTGAATATCGGATAAAAATGCATTATTTCTTTGAAAATTTTCTTCTCTGCTCATGCATATGGTTATTTAGCAAACATACTTAATGTGTGGTTATGATGAGGTTGGGTGCCTCTTCCAAAATTGTGAACTTGTTGGCCCCTTGGTCAGAGGCTTTGTCGTTAAGATGGGGCTGTATTGAATATATATTGAAAATGCACAAATCTTTGAAAATCTTTTCTGCTCATGGGCATCTAGGAGGCAAACAGGGTGTATAAAGAACAGTGGCACTTATGGGCCCCGGTATAAAAGGTGAAAAATGAAGTTCAAATTAAGCATAATTTTTCATATCACATCATCAATCTAAAACTATATGATTCAACAAATTTTAGCGCTGAAATTCATGTTTATACAACGAGCAAAGCCATACAGTGTGGTAGGGGTCAGCCGACACTTGCGATTTTCTATAGTAAATTGAGGATGGGCATTCATTTCAAAGCCGTTGCTTATTGTCAGCATAACGATGTACAAACTTGTGCCAAAGACAAAAGACGCATTATACATTTATAAAACTTGTTTGAAAGTAAGAAATTCTAACAACATTAGGCTAGTACTTAAAATATTAAAAATGTATGAAAAGTTCAATGAGCGAGAGCTTTCTTCCTGTGTGACCTTTGTTAAACCCACTTGTGGAATAAATTATTTTAAATAGTCACGTGAGTTCTACCCGGTAAACATTCCTCAAAGTGCTCATCGTAAATCATAGCCACGTTTTGTATCGTTCGCCAAAGTTGTACCGCTTTAGAGATGTTTGCTTGTATTTGGTTTTATGAAAAAGGGTAGCGTAAATATATTTTAGTGTCGTTTAAAATGTCATCTTACATAAAAATTTACATAAAGCATTTTTAACATTGATGAAAGACGATGGTACCGGTATTGAAATTCATAATATTATGCAGTTATAAATAAATGCAATAATTTATTTAATTTACATACATGACTGTACAATAATTTAAAATTTCAAAACTTGTTACCAAAGGATTTCCTAAAAACACAGATGGAAAAAATAATTAATCAGCAATCATTTCTAGTAATTATTACAATGCTAAATGAAAATGATTTGCACAAACTTTTTTTACTCATTGTTACTTATATATTCAGCTCTACTGGTTTTAAATAACATCAGTAACAAATAAATCAAACAATGTTCTTAAGTGGTGTAACAGTAAAACACTTCACTCTACACACCTAAATATCCTTTTGTAATTTAAAATTGATATAGAAAATAATGTTAATATTTATTGTATTACTTCAAATGTAATTGTGCATAATTCTTAGTTTGATCACTCTAGCTATAGGCAACTATTCAGCTTCATTTGATTTTTTATAGATAAAATAACGCTAGACATATCATTCCGCAAAAGCGCCCGTCGATGATCCACCACCAGATTGTTCAAGTGCCGATTTAACTGTCTCCTCACCCTAAAAAGACGAAACCCAAATAAGTTCGGTACGACTTTTCCGGATTTAGGGTATCTATATGCATTTGAAAATCTCCAATTGTTTAAATTCCATGCTGATTAGGTGACGTTTAACGTGATTTTAAATTAGAAATATCTACCAGTGTTTAACTATTACCAACAGATAAGGATTTGGTAATATAAATATATATTAAAAGGATACTGTAAAGGGGCCCATTCTGTACTGCTTAAGTGCACTGCCCTTTGTAATATAAAGGGTATTTTTACCAGATTTATGAAAATCTGCACCACTTGGTCAATTTATTAATTTGTATTCAACTGAAAGACCTTATTCCCCTTTTCTATTCACCTAAAATTATTACTGTAAATAAATGTAATTCAAAGGTCAATTGGATAACAGATTAGACAAGAATATTCCTAATAATTAAAACAAAAAGTACTTTGATAGTTTTTATGTTCAGGTAGACTTGTAGCTAAACGATAATAAAAAATGGGACAAAAATATCTTATCTTTATACATTAAATGTTCTTCGAAGACTAAGAGAAGCCAATGTGAGAGGGAATGAGATGGGTTTACTAAAAGTGCTCAAGAACTATTATTCATGTTGAGTCTGCATGGCGATAGTGACAAATGGGAGGAAGTACAGGCGAGTAAATGGATGAACTTTAAGATTTGTTACTGAGCACTAAGTTAATTAATATTTTGCTAATCCCAACTATCTTGCTTTTGGGCAACAAAGCTTCATTTATTAACTTATTTTGTATAATTTATATTAAATCTATGGATCCTTTACAGTGATACATTATACTCAGGTGACGTTGGAGGCCCTTGGACCTCTAGTTTGAAAGAAGTTATCTCAAATATTGTTTTCAGACAATCTGTTATAGGTTAACAGTACAATAGTATCAACTGAAAATACACCTACAAATTACTTTTCACACAAACCATGGTCTCTCTTACACATGCAAATCTATCAACACCGGTTTGATATCAGGATTAATCGTAATTAAAGATGACAGCAACAGTATCTTTTTGATAATTGAAACACTGCTAAATCTATTAAACACGTGATTCTCACATAATGTTAAGAATTGTAACATGTAAACCATTTCGAACAGAAATAAATGAATAAGAAAGGGAAAATAGAGTGTACTTTTATTAAAATGTGGCTCCGACAAAGTATAGATCAAGGACAGCAAAGTATATATGATGAAAAATTAAACGAAAAAAGTCGCACACAATTCAGTGATTAAATGACCTTACAATAATTTTGAAAAACATCAGTCAGCATTCGACTTAATGATAGATTGTATTTGCTGACAAGGTCATAGTATCGATCATAGAGCTTGCGAAATGTTGACTTCAAACAAGACTATCGATATCTTTGTTTCACCAACTTCTTTGTCAATAGCTTGCCTCGTTTTAGAAATTGTTCGTACGGTGAACATGCACTTGCGTATCGAATCAACCTGGAGACATAAACTCCATATGCAGGTGATAAGGGTAAACTGCTACATAAATAAGGAAGTTGACGATAGAAAATATGAAGTCATCAGGATAATTAAAAAGTGTTGTTGATAGGTTACCATTAACGTCTTTTTGTAGGAAAATATCCAAAAATGAAACAGATATGTAAGACACTTTGGTGTCTTTTATTTCAAGTTCACTAGGATATATCGAGTCCAGATATGAATGGAAGTAACTATTGTTAATAGATAATACACCGTCGATACATGTCTAAATTTCGAGTTGAAGGCCTGAGCAAGTATTTCCTTGTTCTCATTTAGAAGTTTCTGAATTCTGCTTCATATGAATATTAAAACAGGTGTGCTAATAAAGGGGCGCAATTGATACCCATGGGAATTCCGACAGATTGATGGAGACTTGATCTCCAACCAGAATGTTTATCAACAAAATAATTTTAAAAATGCCCAATTACATGGTAAATAAATTTACGAGTTCCACTTTTATTGAAAAAGCAGCTGTCTATGATGTCAAAAAGCCAGGACTTTAATTTGTCATGGGAAATGGTTTTATTGAAGTGTTGAAAAGTTGTACCATTTGATGTTATTGATTTTGTTAAGATTTTGTGATTTCAAATTTTCAAAACGTTCCTTGTAGTTTTTTAGTATCCACATCTGATTTACACCACTTTCCGAATAAATTGTTGTACAATACTCCAGAAGTTTCTCCATCACTGTTGTTTATTTTTTAGTGAGGTGTAAAGAAAGGCTTGCTAGAACATTAACTGAAACCCTCTATATATCTTTGATGGAATTATTATAGAGTTTAGGAGTCCAGTAGAAGTATGGTAATTCAAATTCAGTTTGATTGTTGTGAATATGAAAAATATTTAAAACTGACATGATTTTGCGGAATTTCCTCTTTAGAAAGGTAGCTATGGGTGTACATGTTATGACGTTCTCCTTTCAAGCCAATCTTATTATTCTGTATTCTCCCACCAAAAACTATACTTCAATACTCTGCTTAAGAGGAACTTTGTATAAGTTATTCTTATTCTCTTAGTATGGAACTGGTCACAGTAGCCTTGTGGTAGGGCGTTCGCTTCGTGATCGGTACGCCCGCGTTAGATTCTCGTTCGACGCGCTGCGTCAAACCTAAGACGTAGACATAAGTAGTGACTGTTCCTTATATTAGCCAAGCGCTCGGCATTTAGAAGTCAAAGTTGCGGGTCCCTCGGATGAGACCTTAAAAAACCGGGGTCTTGTGTCATGGTTGGCGTTGGCATGATAAAGAACCCTCACTGTTCAATGGCCCTGAGTGCCGAGTATAGGTCTAAATTTGAAGCCCTTCATCATACGATGACGTCTCTATGTGAGTGAAAAATTCTCGAATGGTACGTTAAACATTATACAATCAACCAATCTTAGTATGTAAAAGTTCTTCGATCAGCACATTAAGCTTTATGATAAATGTGATGACTTCAATTTTTCAATTGTCGACTTCCCTTAATTGTGTAGCAATTAATATACCCTTATCACCTGCATTTGGGGTTTATGTCTCTCGGTTGATTCGATACGCAAGAGCATGCTCTAGCTATTGACAAACAAGTTGACGAAACAATGATATCAACAGTCTCGTTTGAAGTCATCTTTTCACAAGTTTTTTGGTCGATACAATGACCTTGTCAGCACATACAACCTATCATTGAGTCAAATGCTGACTGACGTTTTTCATATTAATTGTTAGGCCATTATTTACACACTGAACTGTCTACGGATTTTTCCGGGTCGGCAGGGGATGCTCACACCTCCATGGTACCTGCTCCCACCTCTAAATTTTGAGGCCCGTGCTTTTTCTCTGCTCCAAATTTGTATCGTTTCATTGGATTTTCGAGATTGAATATTGTTCGTTATCTTTATATTTCATCCTGAGAATTAAAGTAAAAAATACAACAACAACAAAAAATGAAATGTTAGCATATTCATATATCTATTTAAAATGATTTGGGGATAATTAAGGCTCTCACGTATTGAAATCGTGGGTTATAATTAGTCAGTTTTCAAGATGTAAATTGCTGTTTGAAAACCATGTCGTTACCCAGCTTGTCTTGTGTTTCTTTAATTATTTTAATGAAATGATCGTTGAGTATTGTGAACTGATGATAATAATGTATATCTTACCTCTTCTATCCTTTGTAGTTACATGTACCCTACTTATTATATTATTAAATTTAAATTAAGCTGAATATGGTGACAATGCAGAATGAGCTTGCCTGACATCTGCTTCGAATTTTTTAATGTATCTGATACTTCAGGCATGTTTCAGGGTTTCTTTCATTCATTTTTTTTTCTTCTTTTTGCTTTTTTTTTTGCCTATCAAAATTAAAATTAAATATTATAATTATGTAGTGTTCTGATCAAATATAACATAATATTATTAACAACACACTTATAGTCTATTTGTTTATTTGAGTAAAACTAACAATGATGAAATTTGTGAAAAAATTTTGATACGATTAACCGGAACGTCTTCCGATTAGCGATTGTCAATTATGTATTGCATTGCCATTTCTGATATATATATATATATATATATATATATATATATATATATATATATATATATATATATATATATATATATATATATATATATATATATATATATATATATATATATATTAATATATATATATATATATATATATATATATATATATATATATATATATATATATATATATGGGGGGTGTATGTATATATATATTCAGTACTTTTAATCATTTATCATTTGCAGTATTCAGGAAAAAAACGCTTGATTAAATCACAATAGCGGGATATCACTCACTTCAGCATCTCATTGTGATTTTACTTTTATCCACAGGTTCCTATAAAGGCAGTTCAGGGGAAACTATACGTTAGAGTTTCAACCCACGTATACAACTTTATCTCTGAATATCTGAAACTTGGAAATGCAATACTTGAAATAAAATCATCTTGAAAATTAATGTCTTCTCGTTATAAAATTCAAAGATTTTTTTTGAAGGTTTAATTATTTAATATGCTATTATTTAATTATATGATACATGTGTAATTATGAAAAAAGAAAATTGATGACGTCAGATTCTGGAAGCATAAACATGTAGCCTTACATATGTGACACTAGACTCAACTAAGTTAAATATAATATATTTTAATTTATTTTCAATCATGTTTTAATGATTAAGACTATACTAAAGATTTCGGGAAACATATTGTTATAGTACTTTTTTTTCTCAAGAACAGCTGGTTATATAATGTATTAACATGACGGCATTCCCATGTAATTTTCAGATATGATCTGAGCGCTGCCCCTGACACTAGGATGGGGCAATGATGATTGAGATTTTAAAGATTTGAATTGAAGATACGCGAAAAAGAAACTTTCTCAAAAAAGCAGACAAAAGTCAGTTGTATAGTTAAACATGTGTCCATCTTTAATGTATATTCAAATCATGGTTCTTTGGATCTTTTCTCCATATGTCTAATGCACTTTCAAATTAATTCAAAGCATGACCCCTGGTCTGGAGCAAGGTACCAAAGAAGGGGATTAAAGTTTAATGTAGAAATGATGAGGGAAAAATATTTTAAAATTGTATAATGAATGATTCCTCAAATCATAGTACCTGATCTAGGTTAGAGCCACAAAAAGCGATTGCTTGGCAAAGGGACAGCTGCTACCTATTTTTTTTATCGACTTTGGTCAGTCGTGGCCGTGGTTCTAACACACGGCCTTCCGATCACTGAGCGAGCGCTCTACCGACTTAGCTACCGTGGCGGCAAAAGAGATTGAAGTTGGTTCAAATAAAGAGTTTATAATTAGCACTCTTTCAAGGGAATATAATTAAGAAATAGGAAAATTGTGAGGGCCTTTAAAAATTCTCAAGAACCACTGGTCCAGAAAAACCGATTCCTCTGTTGAAGCTTTCTATCATAGTGTAGATAGAAATTTGATAAATCATCCCCCAAGGTTAAAGTTTGCGGCTAAGAGAGGGAATCATAGTTTTGCATGGGTATATCGAAAAATGTTTGAAAACGTCTTCTTTACAATAGGAAGGTCATGATTAGTAATAGTAAGATGCATCCTCAGGTAGTACAGATGCAAGTTTGTCGAAATCATGACCTCCTGAGTAGGGTGGCGCCACAATAAGGGGGTCGATTTTTAACATGGAAATGTATAGGATAAAAATATTTTAAAATCTTTTGAAATCTTTTTCTCAAGGACAAGTAGGGTAAGGATCAGTAATAATAAAATGCAAGCATTCCCGGGTAGTGTAGATTCAAGTTTCAAGTCATTGCGCCCCCCTCCCCCCGGTGAGGGGGTTAAGATAAAGACACATATAGGGGTTCAAAGTTTTGCAAAGGAATACATGTATGGGGAAAATATTTTAAAATTTTCTTTTCAAAATCGGCAAGAGACCGCCATTACTGATATCTATATTGTCACATTTACTCTATATCTGTTTTTTGATTTATATTTTTGATTTTATCCTATTTGGAGCCCAAGTTCTTCATGGGTATTTATTGGACATAGTTGGGTGATTCTTTTTTTCATGCCGAGTTCCGTACAAAATGCACGGGTCTTTGATGGTTAATGTGAAAGTGTGACTTGCAATAGTCAAGTTGAATTTAGTTTCCTATTCTACAAATTTTCATCAGTATTAGATACCTTTTGATAAAGACACTCTGCTTCTAAAGTCTCGGGGGAGTGCATATATACATGTAGTACCGGGAACATACTGAGGTTGAAATTAGGTGAAATATAGTAACTTTGTGCAGAATACATATATTAGAAAACACTTTTTGCTTTGTTTTTTCATTGGACATTCAAAAGAGTTGTGGTTCGAGCTTGGTCAACCGGCAACAAATATGCAAGCATCTTTAGGTAGTGCAGAATCTAAATTGTTCCTGTAAATTATGCCATAATAGGGGAATAAAGTCTTACATGGAGTTATATCATGACCCTTTGGAGCTAGCGTTGGGCCACAATATGGGGTTAGAAATAGCAATGTGAATAAAAATAAAAATTGAATTTTTTTTAATATTGTGATGGATAACAGGAAGGCCAAAGGGACTCAGGTGAGCGTTGTGGCCCAAAAGCCTCTTATTCAGAATGGTTAGGTAACTCAAGTAAGCGTTGTGAGCCAAAGACCTCCTGTTAAGAATATATAAATAAAATACTCGTTCTTGTAGGCAAGATTAATCATGGAATCTGTATTCAAGTTTGTAGGAAAGAACAAAAATGTTTGACTGAGATATGTCGCTTTTGACACCAAAGATATTCTTTGTATTTTATTCCTTATACGACTTTTTAAAATTATTAACTATAGTTAATTACCTTTTATTTTATTATTTTTGTATCTGTTACCAGTCATTCATTGCGTTATGTGTAATCATGTCTTATAACCTTCCTCCCTACATCTCCCCTGTCAGTAACATCATGATATTATAGATCAAGGCTGAATACGGTAATCGTATTTCTTCGATATTTAAATAATTATATTCGTACATGCATGCATATCAGAATCACGTTTCAGTGTCAACGTAATCAATGTCTTTTGTAACTTGCGATGAAAGAGCTGTGATAGATTTTAAAGATTCTGCAATATTTATGTGTCTAGACCAGAAATGTTTCCCTTGACAAACGTTCACCTACTTCAGAATCTATCTATCGTAAGTAAAGGATGACTGCACTTAACGCGGCTTTTGGGTCTTTTTCGGTCTCTTCTGTTGCTTTTGTATCTTAACCTTATTTCACTTTTGTATATTTATAAAAGAAGCCTCAAATCTGGAACCAAATTTCAACTTTAAATGATTTTAGACTGTGATACAATAAAATGATTCTATGTGTTTTTGTCCACCAGAGAATTTACACTTACCTGCCCTTGACTGAACATTAGGTATGCATGAGAGGTGGAGCTAACATTGTAAGAATGGGCCTAAAATAAGATTGGATAAATAACATGTATGAAAAAACATCATCATTCTTTTCTGTCCCCCTCTCGATTCTCTACGGCATAAGTAAACTACTGACAAAGGTTTCAAAACGACAATATCAATATGAGCACGTCTAGGAAACCCCTGCCGACCGGTCACACCCGCCGTGTGCTCCTTGTCATGATCAGGAAATAACGGAAAAATCCGTCGACAATTCAGTGTGTAAATAATGACCTAACAATCAGTATGATAAAAGTCAGTCAGCATTTGACTTAATGAAAGATTGTATTTGCTGACAAGGTCATTGTATCGACCATAGAACTTACGAAATGATGACTTTAAACGAGACAGCTGATATTCTTGTTTCATCAACTTGTTTGTCAATAATTTACCTCGTTTTAGAAATTGTTCATACGTAGAGCATGAACTGGTGTATCGAATCAACTGAGAGATATAAACCCCGTATGCAGGTGATAAAAGTATATTGCTGCATAAGTAAGGGAAGTTGACGATTGAAAAGTTAGTCATCACATTTATCATAGAGCTTTGATGTTAGATTACCATTAACGTCTTTTTTAGTAAAATATCCAAATATGAAACAGATGTGTCAGACTTTGTTGTATCTTTTATCTCAAGCTCACCGGGATATATCGTGTCGACATAAGAATGGAAATAACCATTGTTAATTGACAATACGTCATCGATATTTCTAATTGTCGAGTTGAAGGCCACAGCAAGTGTTTTCTTCTTTTCACATAAAAGATTTTGAACAAATTCTGCTTCATATGAATACAAAAATAGGTCTGCTAATAACGGGGCGCAATTGGTACCCATGTGAATTCCAATAGATTTTTGGAATGCCAGGCGATTTAACGTGTTCGAACACAATGTCCTAATTAACACAAAACATGCTACCTTACAAGTCATTAAATATAATATGGTTTCTCCCCCATACATGCTAAATTTACTATGCACAGCTGACTTTTTACATTTTCCATCTTCGTTTATTTTGAAATATTTCTACCCTTTTGAATTGGTATTTGTATTTCTATGTATATTCTATGTGTGTAGTGTCCAGTGATTGGTCAAGGTAATTACTGTATTTACATGTACATGTACACAGCTACAGGCGATAACGGGTATTAACTGGTGTAGATGACGCTTATTACTGTATAGACATGGACAACGCATGTTGAAATAACATACCTTGATAGGTTTTTAATAAATATATGCACTTTGAAATATGAAAAAAAAATACGTCCGAGTAACCGAGTACCGATTTTACTCGTAGTATTCGATACTCGGACGTTCGAGCGAGTACCCGGTTAACCGCCAAAGTCCGATGGTCTCGCCGAAGTCCGATGGTCTGCGCCCAACCCCGATGGCTCGTTTCCTTTGAGACGCACTGCGCTAAAGTGCGATGGTCTGACACGCCAAAGTCCGATGGTGCGGAGAAACAATCCACGTTTATGAAGTTACAATATTCCGACGTCAATCCTTGACGCCGTTGTCCTGCATTCAAAAGCCATTATTTCTGAACTCGTCCTCACATACAATTTTATGGATTTTGCATATTGCTTGCACCTTTCAGAGATATTAAGATTATCCTCGCACACCACTCCACTGATTAGGATTAGTCCTTGCTCCGCACGAACCCGAGATATATATATATAAAAACCAACAACACTTTATATCCAAGTGTCGGATCTACTAAGTAGATACAAGGTCACGGATGGAAATTTATACAAAGCACTAAAATGACCAACGACACGAACAATAATAATTGTCAAATTTTCGGGACGACCTGCCCCTTCCTCAGGACAAAGAAAAAGTTAATAAGTCATAAAAACAAAGGAAATAGAGAAACAAAAAAACTAGCACTACTACTAAACTACCAAACACTAAATATTTACAGTATTACATGTTTAATTTCAAGTTAATAAACAGTCGTGAACAAAGAAACCCGGAGCGCTATGAATTGCGTCCGGTCTATCGGGTGAACTCTGGTGAAGTGCGATTTACATAATTGAAC